TTGTTGTTTTTCAATTTTGCAGGGTAAAACAGAGTTGAAGACGTTCCAAGACACCAACCCATCATTAAACGTGATTCACCCTTGGTTACCTATGTTTTCCCGCGGTAAAACCTAGCTGGCCGACCACCAGGTCGCCAGGGGAACCAAAAGATACATGAGTTGACCGGGCTGACCTGTGATTCCAGGGTAAAACCTGGTTTTTGGCCAGGTAAAAGTTTGTTTTATACCAGTGCAACCGTTATTGTTTTCCCCACAACTTTGTGTGGGGTTCTTGTTTTTGATTCTGTATCCCGGGTCGCCTCCCTCCTGCCTCCTCCCGCCTCCTCCCGCCTCCCGCCTCCCGCCTGTCACACACCATCTTTGTCACGCACCATCTTTCACACACCATCTGTCACATACCATCTTTGTCACATACCATCTTTCACATACAACTTTGTCACACACACCATCTTTGTCACATACCATCTTTCACATACAACTTTGTCACACACCATCTTTGTCACATACCATCTTTCACATACAACTTTGTCACACACCATCTTTGTCACATACCATCTTTGTCACATACCATCTTTCACATACAACTTTGTCACACACCATCTTTGTCACATACCATCTTTCACATACAACTTTGTCACACACCATCTTTGTCACATACCATCTTTCACACACCATCTTTCACACACCATCTTTCACACCCATCTTTGTCACATACCATCTTTAACTCGCAAGGGTCGGCGGCGCACAAATGAAGATAGCCTTCCTGTAGGACGCCGGCAACCTCCTCTCTGAGTAAAGCGTCCCCATTCCTCGGAGCCAAGGATCACTTCTTGGCCCTCGACACCGACTGCCACAATGACGGGTGGCGGCTCCTCAGCCTTTCTTTTTGGCATTGCTCCTCTTAGTGGAGAGAAGGGGCATGCGTTCCAATAAGACCCAGGGTGTCTGTGGTGGAACCTCCTGAAAGGGTCCTCCAGCGCTTTGTAAAGCTTCTGATGCATGCTTGCTTCCACCTCGATGTCCTGGTATCTTTTCTTTCTCGTCTGTGGGTGATCTCCTTCTCGCCCAGGAGTCACCAAGATGTGGCTCACCTTGCCCGCAACGGTTGCACCGTGCGGACATCCACCCTTTGAGCCAGAAGACTCACCACACATGCAAACAGTTCACTAAAGCACTATCCCCCAAACAGTCGAGACGACAGCCTAGGGAGTGTCTGTATGGTGTATTACTATTACCATCAAATTACAAATATATAATGATGTGAGGTATCTTGGTAATGAAAAATATTCGTTAATTCATTAATCAGATTGATCCTAACATCTGGAATAATTTCCATCAACACATATAATTATTTGGTAGTCAAACATGGCTTGCTGGAAAATCCACCATTTATATATAAGTGGTTACTGTAATTTTGCCAGCTATAAACCTCCAGGAAACAAGGGATCTCCCAGCCGGCCCACTCCTGGGTTTTCATTTGCACGCTCACGTCTCTCCTTCCACGGATTTGGAGTCGGCGGCACACCATCCTTGCAGCGACAAAAAAATGCATGCCAATCTTAGAGACCAGCCGGTTTCATCAAACGTAACAATGAAACATCTCTTACAAATGGAGGTTTATAGCTGGGAAAATAATCAATAAATAAGCAATTTTCCATTGCCATGTTTGACTACTGGAAGTTATGTGTGTATATGTTTATTTTTTGCGTATGTATACAATATATGTATAATGTATTGATTATGTCATATCCCCATATGTTTGATGCTGAAATCATTGTAAAACATTGTGTAAAACCATATATAGTAGTTGTGGTAAATCCAACAAAAAAAACAGAAAAAAAAACAATCATCCCGAAATGGTAGCTTCATGGGTTTACCACATTAAATCCTCAAAAGTGATGGTAAAATAATATCAAATCAAAACATCGAACAAAACTGCTATTATATATAATCCAACTTTACTGTATCTTGTTATATCCCCTATGCGTGATGGAGAATAAAAACTATATATATATATACATAATCCCCAGAAAATCCCAATGACTCATTTTATTCGTGTGTGAATTATGGGCAATCACTACCGTGGGAGGTAAAATGAGACAGCTGACTATCAGCGGATCCACCAACAAAAATGATCGTTAATCGCAATCTCAGTGAAACTGTTTGCCGCAAATAATGATAAATCAGTATAAATCATCTACTTTCAGTGGGACATGTTTCCATGGTCGGTGAAATTACCAGGGGATTTTTACCCTGATCTCCCTGCCAAGGCACAGGGCCAAAGATCCGCTTGAAGCGGAGCTCGTTCTCCTCGACCCGAGGTGAACGAGGCGACAAACACGGCGAGATCGGCAATGGCGAAGCGGTCAGAAGGCCTCCAATTTCACCAGCAATGATGGAGATTTCGCCATAAAATTTGTTCATTTATGTAGATTTACCATGATTTACCATGATTTAGCCATGATTAGCCATGATTTACCATGATTTAGCCATGATTTACCATGATTTAGCCATGATTAGCCATGATTTACCATGATTTAGCCATGATTTACCATGATTTACCATGATTTAGCCATGATTAGCCATGATTTACCATGATTTAGCCATGATTTACCATGATTTACCATGATTTAGCCATGATTTAGCCATGAAAGAAATCTGAATTCAACAAGTAACAATTCAGTTTACCCGCAGATGCGAGGGATTTTGTGCGTCAAGTATGGCAATATTGATCGGGAAGATGGTGATAAAGCAATAGGATGATTTAGGGGTACCTTACGTTCAGTCAAACCCAGCTGACTAGTTCACCTCAATTATAAACTGATATAATTAAATCATGCTCTTTCATGGGGTGTATCTAAGCTGTATAAACATACTATTCACCACTCACCAATTGCACGTTGAAGTGGTACGCCACGCACTTCAACAAATGGAGTATGGTTATGGGTGAAAGTTTCAAGCTTTCTGTTGAAAAAGCACGAAACAAAAACATGAGTTCCGCGCTAGTCATGTTCGGACTCACAAACCAGAGTACTAACCGGTCATACGCCGGCCATTTTTTTGGGGGGAACCAACTTTGACCCATATCCATAAGATCCCATAAGCCATACGACAGTGAATTAAGGATAATTAAGGATCATTAGCCCAGGTGAAAATTAAACAGATGCTGAATGGTGTTTTCACCATGGTTTTCACAGCATTCCGAGGCAATCATCAAGTGCGGGGATGTCTCTACAAACCAGCGGGAGGATGTCCGCAATTCCTGGGACAAACCGGGATGGTTGAACAATGTCTCAGTTCTGGGCAAGTTCTGAAAGCTACCCCCGTGGGTATAGAGTTAAGGCTGGGTTCCATCATCGACTGGAAGGGTTGACAAAGCGCAAATGGCTTTACATATAATTAGTTTAAAATCTTTAATCCCTTGGAAACAAGAAAAGTTCAAATCTTCAACGATTCACTTTCCCATATGGTCCCTGTATGAGATATTTACCAACATTTACCCCATAAATGGTCCAAATGTAGGTAAATATACTATACATGGAGCATATGGGTTTGAAGGGCGCTCATGTCAGGGAGAGCAGCCAGAAGATTTTTATCTGTTTTCGGCACGTCACCTGCAAGCAGACTTTCAAATACGGCGAGCCCCCATGGCACATCACCCAGGATGGTAATACAATAGAATAGACGTATATACATATGTAATATCCATTACGTATAATTATGGTAGTTCAATATGTATATATGTAATATATATATATATATATACACATATATATATATATATATAAATAACAATATAAAAATATACACATATATATATAACATTATACAATTACATACATATGGTTTTGATTTCAGCACAAAATATGGATGGTTCACCACTTTGAGGAACCTGCGAAACCGGGGCCCCTGGGGCCCATTCCGAGGTAGGCCTTCCTTGGCTGGCTCAGGCGAAGTCTTGCACATGGCGGCGGTTTTGCTTGACACTTCCGGAAGATTCCGGATGGGGATCACAGAAAAGCAAACAAGAGGACGCGGAAGGTCAAGAGAAACATGTATATATATATATATTATGTATATATATATATTATGTATATATATATATATTATATATATATATATTACGTGTGGAAACAAATTGTTTATATAAGTGTGTATATTATGTATGTGTATTTATTTAATTATATATGATATATATTAAGTTTTTTGCATATTGGTATATTATGTGGTCTCAGTATGTTTCAGTATGTCTCAGTGCTTGCATGTTTGGGTTTTTGTATGTTTATGCATTGTTGATTCGGAGCGTGTTCGTGTTGTTGCCCGCTGAGTTTCGTAAACAAACTTGAGCCATGGAAGTGATGTTGTCATAGAGATTACCAAACAGTGCTAGTAGTGCTAGTGTTGAGATATAGGTCAAATTCCTACTGCAGTACACATCAGTTTCGGGTATGGACCGGTATGGGTCAACATTGGGTACCTTCAAAGTTGGTTCCTTCATGGCATGAACATGTCCAAAATCCGGTCAGAACTATGTAGGTCGCTTGATCCTCAATGGAGACCAACTATCACCATCCGACCAATAATTTTGAAGGTAACAAGGTGTCTTAGTTTCTCATTTGGGGGTTTCCATAAATGGGGGTACCCCAATAGTTGGATGTTTTATAAGGGAAAATCTTATTGAAATGGATGATTTAGGGACAATTAAATGGGTGAACGTAGTCATAAATCATTGGACGCAAGAAGGGCACCCGAAACGACAAGGAAGTTGGCAAACATCACTAGCCTAACCGCCATTAACTGCCTAACTGTTGGTTGCGGCATATATCCAGAGTTTGAGGAAGTTATAAATCAACTGACTGGCTGCTGGTTTCGCTGAAAATAGGTCGGGACCATCTCCATTTTGGATGGCTAAATCCACTGAAATCCCCATTGGTTGTGGTTCAAAACCACCTTCAAAACCATGCCTGGCTGCTGCCCCCTCCGCATTGGGCTTCCCAGGCTTGACCCACACCACTGACCTTGGTGCCAAAGGCACCTCCGTGTTCCCGCCTGCTTTGCGGAAAAAATCGAAGGATTTTTGGGGAGAAAATCTTGGCATATCATTCCCATCCCACCTGAAAAAAATGATGGGAATGTTGTCGAAATATCGGGAAATAATGAGGAATAATGCGATATAACAATCATCTTAGAGCAGTAGTAAATGGCCCGTATATACAAGTCTGGTATATACAATTATGAACTATGGAAAAACATGGGGTTGAATAACCCCCCCGTGTCTTTTTCAATGTCCCAAAATCATATTATCGTTCTTTTTACTCTTATCGTTTTCTCAGGTGGTGGGCTCTCTGTACCAGAAATGTGATGTTTCCAGCTTTCTGTGGGTGTGAAAGCATCCACGGTCGAAAGTCAACAAATGTTATTTTGTCCTCTCATCTTCCCCTTTCATGTTGATTTCATTTTGTATTAATTTCCCTCATGTTCCTTTCATTTTGTATTTGTTTCCTTTCATTTGCCTTTCATGTTCCTTTCATGTTCTTTTCATTTGGCATTCATGTCCTTTCATGTTCCGTCGCTATTTATCAAACATGCAGGTCTTCGAAAGGTGATATGTTCAAACCGGTCAGGTGGGTATCCGCCCAAACGCTCGCGTTTTCATCATATTTCGTTATCGTTTTTGTTATCGTGTTGCTATCGCTTTGGAGGCTTGTGCAGGTTGCCACTTTCAGGGTTCATGAACATGTACATGTATAAGTTCGTTATCGTTTTATTTTCCTCTTATCATTTTCTGGGCCGGTAAGGCATTGGTAATTTTTATATACCCTCTGGTAATTTAACATAGCTATTAAACATGGTCCATTTATAGTTGATTTACCTATATTGAAGATGGTGATTTTCCATAGCTATGTTAGTTTACCAGAGGGTAATATCCAGGGGAAGTGGAAAAGATTACTACGCCACGCGCAAGAACAGCTATTAATTCCATCATTTGTGGCTATATAGATAAGTTGAGTATCAAGCAACCAAACCGACATAAGGATAGTTGGGTTTGGCCTGTGGGGAATGTGAACATTAATCAACAATTGGAAAGAGAATCTGGTTAGAAATTCCTCTATAAAACTGCAAAACAACAGAAGAGACAACCTGATATTCGTGGCCATTTTATCATTTCTTCTCCACATGATATAAGTCAATGAGGGACTGGATGATTTCCACTTGATTTCCCACGTTTTTAACCATCACCTCTGGTGAACTTGCTCATGAGGTTCCTATAGTATATTTACCCATATCTATTGGGGTGACTTTAGAAGTCAGCTTTTTGGTTGACAAAAGTGGTTCGAATGTCGAAAGACATCATCCGTGCCTACCTATCCCATGCAGGGCCTATGGAGACCATCCGGGAAGAAGAAATCTGCTCCACGCCCGTCCTTGGCCACTGAAAGGCCAAACATTGGCTTCTGAATCTGTGCACTTGGAAAGTGCGCTTTGAATCACCTTCATCTTCACAAACCCAAGACCTGTCTATTTTGATCTATTTTGCAAATCTGGTTTCTTCAAACTTACCTGCATCTCCTGCATGACTCAACTCAGCCCAGAAACCTTGCATCATCCTGCTTGCTAGTTGGGTTGACAGAGTAGTACAATTCCAATTGCACCAGGAGACATAACAATCATTTCAAAGGTTGACTGCAGATTCTCGCTTGTTAAATGCCAGTGGTGTTGTTCTTTGTAAATGTCATCCGGTTTGATGCCTGAGAGTCACTGTATGATATGTTGTACGTCTACAATGATGTTCTTACACATATAATTATATAGATATATTATAAATTATGACACACATATGCAGTTGTAGACTTACCGTATTTGTAGACTTACTGTATGTAAATAAATAATAAGCAAATAAACAAAATAGATAAACAAATAAAACAAATCAATCACTAAATATATTATGTATATATATATGATCTATATATATATATATATATGATCTATATACATATCATGCTCGTATAGGCACACATGTATGAGCATGTCATTAAGTATCATATACATATCCTATATATATATATATACGTATACATATGCATACATGAATATATGACCCTCTGGTGAACATAGCTATGGAACATGGTCCGAAAAATGTTGGGATCTTCCATTGCTACGTTGAGGAAATACATGGGCCTTGCTGCCGAGCAGCGCTAGCACTTCCCAATGACAATCAGCGTTGAGGTAAAGCCTCGAGCGCGGCTGGGATGATCCGGGCAGGACCCGACGTTGAAAATGATGGGAAATCATCCAAGATTATAGTGGTTCATAGTAGTGGTTAATAGTGGTTAATAGTGGTCAATAGTGGTTAATAGTGGTTCATAATGGTTAATAACTGGAATAATGTGGGTAAAAGAATGCCATTTTTAACACCCATGAATGGGAATGGTACACATACCACCTATAAAAATGGAGATGACTGGGGGACGGTTCATGGCATTGTTTTCACCACATCTGTTATTGAAACCCAGACAAATGTGCGACAACACGCCCTTGCGGGAAATACTTTCAAATATGCGACAAGGATCAACAAGGCTTAGAGTACATGTTTGATGATGTATCCAGAGCGAGGAATCACGTCATACAGAAAAATGTGGATCGGGTGTCGCCTAAGTACACGCTCCTGAATCAAGTTTTGACGAAGGTGTAGGGATGCAGTTCAGGTCATGTCTGTTTGTCTGGAACTAGGGTACCTCTAATATAAATCTCATCAGTTTTCCCATATGGAAATGAGTTTATTTTTAGGATCTACAGTATACCCTCTGGTAATTTAACATGGCTATGGAAAATCACCATTTTTGATGGGAAAATCCACTATAGATGGCCATTTTCAATAGCTATGTTAGTTTACCAGAGGGTAACCCATTTTCAGACACAAGTATAATCCACCAAGAGGTGGGATCAAGAAGGGCCACCGTGACACCGATTTCTTGTGCCTCCTGGCTCCATGGTGTTCCCAGAAATCCAAGGGACTCGTTGACCATCAGGCTGTCATGCGCAACGGATGGCACTGCCTCACAGAAAGACATGTCCCAACATGAAAACATGATTTTTCAGAGAGGTTAATCCCACGGATTGGAAAAAAAGGTATCTCCATTGTCTTCCCATAGATTCTTGCCATCTTGCCTCTAAACAAACATGAGTGCTACTGTATGTTTCACAAGTCACATAAGCAGTGTTCAAGACCCTCTGTCATTTCATTATACAGTACTGGTTAGTTGATAGGGATTCCCCAAATGGATTGTGATAATCGCCACTTGTTTGCTTCGTAAAACCCCATACAGTAATAATCACCCGAAAAGGATGTAATGGCTTGGAACAATCTCCATGTGGGCAATGCGGGCTGGTAGGAATATCATCCATAAACCAACAACACTTAGCCTACTTCCAAACTAATTTCAGTCCCCAGGGGACTCCACCTTGTACCTTGCAACAATTGGCTAGCTGCTACTGTAGTATTGAGTAGTTTGGAATCAAAGAAACTTCTTGGGAAAGGGCTGATCGGTAATGGAACGTGACATGTCGATTGAAAAAGAAAACACGTACTGTACATAAATCAATTAATTTAAAGGGTACATCCATTGTCTTGTTTGATGGCCAGAGGCTGTATTGGCTTAAATAGTCTGAACTAATGCTATGTCACCAAGGTGAAATGATTTATGTCATTTTGGGGTGGAAATCTCCTATTTTCAGACACACCTGACACCGGATCATTGTTGTTGGATATACAATAAACTATATATATATATGTATTATATTCTGTATATATATATATATACTGTGCAGTATATATATATATATATATATATCCCATGATATTCCCATGAAATATGTTATATGATATCATTTCAATCTCACAGATATCGTCACTGCCGAACAAAAGGCGCCCGAACCTCTAGGGCGTTCTCATCACCATAGAGTGCTTCCCGCAAGGCTACTGCCTGACGTTGGTGCACTACACCTGTCTTTTTGTATTAAACCAACTATGTGTTGTTAGAACTAGTTTGTAGCTGGTGAGTAACACTTGAAAACAAGCAAAACAGTTATAGAGAACGATAAATGGGATAATGCCACGAAGACTTGGGACTTGCATGGACTTGCTAACTTAGGGTTACCACTTACAATCCGTGGATTATGATCCTCCAAGTGCAGATATTAGGATATCTAGCCAACCATATCCTAAGGGGTGCCAAATGGGTTTCAACATGTTGATGGCAACCTTCTAGATGGACGTCGCTCCAGTCATTGTGGAACCAAACGACCATATAATTGATGATATGGAATGACATGTACGTGAAAATTTTAACAATGTACCCATTTTGATCCCATTTTTGAATGGCGGTGAATCATTTTGAAGCATGCCCCTACCTCAACTTGAGGTATGTTGAGAGGATCTTGTTTTGGGAAAATGTTGGTACAATTACACCTGATTTGACTTGTGTTGGGAGGAACGATTGGTCAATTTCGTCCAACGTGATTAAGTCTTCCACAAAGATGTTCATTAATATGTTTTTGGTGGGAACAAGTAATGAGCAGGACCACCAAGGAGTTCTTTTGTGCCGACAGAGGCATATATGATCATACATGATCATTTGGCAGACCGGAATCCGGAAATAATTCTCTGCAAATACCTTGATATTTTTGAACGTGCATACACGTGTTTAAAGTGTTTGGGACAAACCCCTGTGCAAAAATGAAATGGGATGAATTGTCACTAGAAGCTCGAACTTATCTTATTATAGTTCCCTAACCCAAAAACAATAAAATAACTATGTCACCATGAGATCATTGCCCCATGTTGTGGGGGAACTGTCCAACATGAACGAAACCAACACGCTCTTCATCTCGCGAAGCCCCCACCTTCACTGCAGATGAGATCAACTTGGTGTATCCCACCTGGGTCGGGTTGGAGAAAATATCCAGTCATTAGAAACTGTTGAATCATGTTGATTCCTTATGCTTCAAACTTAGGACTCCCCATTTCTCTTGGTCACACCACAATCATGTAGTTTCGAAGGATTACAGGCTTGAATCCCGAGCTTTGTTGGCTGAATCTCCCAGTTGGATGCCTTGCGACCGCCATATTGTTGCAGGTTGCAATCCCAGTTTCTACTTGCGTTGGTTAGATGCTATCAAGATTAATCTGGCTGCATTAGGATATATATATATATACACCGCTCTGAAAATAGATGGCGCAAAAAAAAGTAGCGACGGTAGATGGCGCAGCCTGGCCGTACAATCGTTATTGTTTTGTCAGATGGCGCGACCCCGAATAGCATCGCTATGTTTGGTTTGCTTTCTTTTCCTTTTGATTTTCACCAAATTTTGCACCAGGGCTACTGCAGGTGGAGCTGCCATCTTCAAATTCAATGCAGCCATATTCAAAGCCATGTGGATCACACACACACACACTAACTGTGCACTGCAGATGGCGCAATTATGCGCAATTTACTTTGGGAGGCAACAAATACACACGGCGAGCTGTAAATAACACGGTTCACCAGGCAAAACTCACCGAAATAGGACAATCCACCCTATATTCCTAGATCATATGCCCACACGCACACACACAAACCATGCACTGTAGATGGCGCAATTCACTTTGGGAGACATAAAATACACACAGCGAGCTGTAAATAGCACAGTTCACCGGGAAAAACTTACATCGGGAAAACCTTTCCCTTTCTCCTTTCCCCTTTCCCCTCTCCTTTCCCTTTCCCATTCTCCTTTCTCCTTTCCCTTTCCCTTTCTCCTTTCCCTTTCCCTTTCTTGTTCTTTTTCTCCTTTATCCTTTCTCCTTTCCCTCCTCCTTTCCCTTTCCCTTTACAAATGGAACGCATTGGTAACATGTGGTAACCTCTAGATGGCCCAATCCAAAGTTGTGGTTTTGCACCCCAAAAATGGACCCCAGATCTTAATACTAAGTTTAAAGTTTAAACTAAACTAGAGGAAAACAGGTTGTTGTTGTTGTCAACCACATGTGTTGGGAACCTATAGATGGCGCAAAACATCCCATCCCCCAAGTGGAAAAAATAGATGGCGCATTTCAAAAATTAGCACCATCCATTTTCACAATGGAGTAATTCAACCATCCACCCCAAAGAACATTGACCATTTTCGGGTAATTCGACCGTAGTGACTGACCATTCTCATCCGTTCTCTTTTAGGTGACATCCTTGTGACCTTCCGGGCATATCATGGGATTTAACCAACAATTTATGGTGCTTTTATTTATAGTGACTTAATGAGATAAAGCCATATAAAGCCTATGGTTTTCATTGATGTTCCAATCCTTGTCACTATCATTCTCCGACATACTGGTATCAGTATAAACTGACCAGCCTGGCTAGTGGTTCCAACACGTTTCAATCAATGATCAAAGTGCTGGTGCAAGTCAGGTATTTTGTGAAGAATGGAATCTCAAAGGTCTTTTCTGAATGATACCCTCTAGAAAATGTTCACAAAGCTATGCAAAACCCGTGGCTGCCCATCAAAATAACCGAGCGTGGGTGTTCCACATCTATATATGGATATCTATGGTAATTTACTGGAAGCTTCCATTGATTTGTACACTTCACACTTATGTAAGAGAGTTGCCCTGCCTGGCCGCTACCGCCCTAAACAAAAAAGGCCAAACCTGTTTCAGACTTACGATTACTGCAATCGTCATCAACGCTATTAGCATGGCCAATCGGTTTGAGATATCCAGCAGCAAAAACACAAATAAGAGCAAGGTACACCCAAAACAAACATTGCTTAAACTATACTCTCAAACCTAACCCAGGTTTACTTGCATGTGAATCCCGCAAAGTGGATTTGAACCAATAAGCTGGTGATATCCCAGAAGTGAGTCAAAAACCATACCTATCAACCACTTCCTACTTCTCGGATGGATTTGAGAATCAAAAATAAAGACACAACGTTTGATGGCTGATCATCATTGTGTGCCTATATTGTTCTATTTTGTGTTCCCTATTTTTCCCCATATTTTCCTATGAAATCATCCGTTTAACTTGGAGCATATCGACGGCACCGACCCAGGCTGCGGCGCCTCTGCCAGCAAATCGATTCCCTCTAAGGCTTCCTGGTGTGTAACATGTCGTGTTACGCATTTGTACTGGGTATATATGTCGATCTCCGGCAATTTTGGATATATCATTTTTTTAATTACATACTGTACAATCAGATACTGAATATATAATTACATTTGTATATAATATACACATAGTCATGCTTATATATAAATTCTATAAATATACATATACAAGTGATTTGTCACGGGGAATAAGTCCTGTACAGCGATGACATCTGGCCGCTTGCCACCGGTAATCTCCAGCAAGCGTCGCCTGCGATAGCTGCTGCTACGATGCGGGACATTGATGACCTACCAATGGAGTGAATTAATGAACAGCATGAAAATGGTTAATTGTATTTACATAATAAATATAATATATATATATACATTTATTGTATGTACATTAAATGGTTTCAGAACTGAAAACATCTAAGAATATTTGGCTAAAGCAGGACAAAAACTGATACAATGGCTTGATTTAAGTGTAAACATTTGGATTTAATCATCAAACAGGGATGTAATAGCCCAATGTGATTATCAATGGATGGGGTCTGAGGGAACATCTACAGGAAACATGAGTTGCTATTCATATCGATTTTTTTTAAACCACTTATGTAGGGGGATTACTTCAAACCTACTTTGGAAACCTATGGCGACCTGTGATCCTCAGAATAGTCACATCCAGTTTTGGAGGACCCCAAAATGGTGAAGCTATGCCAATACATTGAACCAGGCTTTCCAGCAATTCTTGATCGTTTCGCGGAGAACAGTTGGACCATTGGACCTATCTCTGTTGTCGCCCTGTATCACCTCTGCTAAATCATCCAACTAAATGGCTAAATGGCTTCCATGTTGGCACAAGTGTTGAATTCCCGGAGGATATGTGTACATACAACTATCATATATATATATATACATATATTCTTATAAATATAATGTGTATATATATATATATATATAATCATATATATATATATAATGTATATATAGAATCATATATATATATATCCCCAATATCACCATCCCCATTATATCCTATATATATATACATCATATCTATTCACATCTCCATTGTGACTGATTCTCAACCAATTCTATCCCATGCTGCTTAACGGACTCAGCATTTCCTGCTAGACCCGCTGTCACAAAACTGTGTCTTCCACAGTTCAACAGATCAGATCATCACCACAGGTCATGTTGGATCTGGGATACCCTCTGGGAAACTAACATAGCTATTGAAAATGGCCATTGAAATAGTGGATTTACCCATTAAACATAGTGATTTTCCATAGCTATGTTAGTTTACCAGAGGGTAATATGTGACCATCCAACATGTCATCAGAATTCACCCTGTTGTCGGTGCACCTCCACTGTGAACCGTAACCCGTTACTGCCGAAAAACTGCTTGGTGGATAAGGCTGGATTCCCGTGGGAATCGTAACCCAATCACACAAATGTGAGCCATTAAAAAAAAAAAAATCCACTAAAATGTGGCCCCCCTGGATTATAAAGCAACTTAGCTATCAAACTTTAGTGGATGATTATCCCGAACCACTATAAACCCGACCTGGCTACGTTGGGATCCTGAGGAAAGCTGGCCAAGTACTGCAGGTTGAAGATCATGACCTGGAGACGAGGCCAATTTTCACCAAACCTTCGGGTAAAATGCAAGGAGTTTAGATGATGTTGGATGTAAAAGTGTAACCCCCAAAAAATGTGATATACATGGGATACAACGGAGATATAATTGGAAAATACATCAGTATACAGTATACCATCCGATAATTTAAACACACGCTATATAATTAGAATGCTATATATATATGAAACATGGTGCGTTTATAGATGATTCACCTGCAACAAATTGTGATTTCAAGTAACTATGTTGCACTACCAGTCTGGTTACCAGAAGGTAATAAATTACTGGTGAGTGAGCCACCGGATGAAAACAAATGCAGGTCAATGGGATCATCATCCCATTTGTTTGATGACAAACATAATATATTTCAATCCAGCAACTAGAATAGATGATAAAACCAATGATAAAACCAATTGATAGTACTGATTTAATTTATAGTTTCACTATGAAAAGCAACTATATAAGGAAGGTGGGATTAGATTGTAAAGATATGGCATCAAATTAACATATGCGAGGGTTGAACCTACAACTTGAGATTAAAAACCCTTGTTGCAAGCCACAAAGCTCAAGTCCCAGCTATCTCCGAGATCATCTTCCGTGGCTTGAATGATAGATGCGGTACCTAAAATATAAATAATGTTCAATGTTGATTCATCACCATATCCCAATATATCCCAATCACGGCAAGGAACAACATACCTGGAAACCTATACCAATCAGCAAGGGTTTCCACGCGTGGCAGGATGCGAGGGCCCTGTCATCTTGATTTGACATGAAACAGCTTGAAGCAACCCTTGGGTTAGGTTGACATTCCCCCACATGATGGCATTCATGCCCCAAAATTCAATGGTTGATCTTCATTTTCCCCACCATTGGACATGCCCATATCCTATCAATGCTGGTTCTTTATCCCACGAAGTACTAGGGATATCTCGTGGCGTGGCCGCACATGGACCAATGGTTACATACCTCTGGGGCATCACATGGTATATATGCACCTCATATGGGTGGTTCCATAAATGGATCCAAATGGTTGGTTTATATATAATGGAAAATCCTCATAAAATGAAGGATTTAGGGGTACCCCCACATATTTTGTTGGTCAGATCATCAAATCCCCAAGAAAAAATCGTACCTCAAACCGGGTCACCGCGGTAGCCTTGGGGATCCCTGCCACCAGCTCCCTGCCACCGGCTCTCATGGAACTGGGGATCAACTTCCGCCGTGCAGAGCGAGAAAAAGCACCGCAGCTAGCCCCTGGGTGATCATCATTCAGCCAGATTCCCATGGCAAAATTTTTAAAATACTCTATAAATGGTGCTTTTCTTGGGAAAAATCATCATAAATGAATTATATTGATGGATAATGTGTGAAATCATCTATGATGGATATGAAAATTCATCTATGATATTGATGGATTATATTGCATATATCTGGAAGATTTGTGTGATTACAGTATATGGGGAATAAAATGGGAGTTAACCATAGTTAACCAACAACAATGGGAATATCATTATGGGAAGTGCACCAACATCATATGGAATCTAATCTGGTTGAAACAAGGTAATTTGGAGATGATTCCCCTTACTAACCTTGGAAACAGTGAGGTCACTATTATTCATCCAGGTAATAATGTAGTTAAGCTATTTTAGTATAATATATATATATATATGTATAAGTAGAATCATTAAGTTGACCCAATCTAATGTACTGGTGAATATATCGGCTAAATCATGTTCAATTGAATCATTAGAAGATAACATTTATACAACATGTCAACATGCATGATGGTGGATGATTCTCCTTCGCTAGCCGATGTATGATTGATATGGTCAATTCATCTCAACCACGTAATATGTGATTCATAGTTTTCTTCATTGCAATAGAACAAATAAACATCGTTGGATTACGTGATAAACAGATTAAACATGCACATGTGCCATTCAGAAACTGACCCTTAGATCTTCTTGGCAACCACATACAACATACATATATTATACATGATTATTTATATATCTCTATATATCTCTATATATATAACACCACTGTTTGCAACGTAAATCCCGTTCTTTTCTTCCGAATGTAGCTGAAATCACCGCAGGATGACTCCAAGCCGCCGGACCTGGCCCGGATCTGAGATGCCCGGCTGGACCTGGGCTCTTGGATCTTCACCAAATTCACCACTTTCAGCGAAAGCCTGGGGCGCTGCGGAGCCTAGCCTGGGTGAACAGGGAGAAGATACAGGGCTCGTTTTCCAATGATTTCGGTATATGTTGGTCCTTTTGCCCAATTATAGTCCAAGTCTTGGATGTAGACATGAACATTGCGAACATTGTCTGAAAAATGTGGGACTGACTGTCGGCCATGATAGATTGCTGGATATTGCTGGTAAACCCCAACTGGCCATTGCCAACAAAGAACATCACTTTCCCAGCTGCCATTTCGAAGGATTTCTGTCATATAAGCCATGGACACATGTATTGGGTGGATATATACGTTATCAAACACAGCCATGATTTAATCGAATCTAATGCTGTGATGTTTTTTTCCTCCACGTGAACAAATTTATTTTCCTTAAATCTTTGCAGCCAACGAGCAAAGCTGGGGGGTTGGGTGGTTTGAGAATCCCATTTTCCCCATGTTCAAAGACACACCCAACACGGGGAATACCCTATTTTGAGACACCCCAAAATCATACTGTTGTTGGACGTATATATAAAATATATGTCCTATTCATATCCCGTTATACATATTTTAAACTACATGTATATATTATGTGTAGATATATATATGTACCATATTAAACCCCTGTTGTTGATGGGTCACATCAGCATTTTCCCCAAGCCCTCTTCGCCCGCTTCAAGCCCAAAGGGCTGTTTGCCGCTGTGCATCATCACCGGAAGACGGCCCAGCTGTCGGGCCTGTTCCACATGGAACTGAAACTGTTGGTTGATGATAAATTGTATATCATAATAGTAGAACCCATGTGTACCCATGCAACCTGGTAAGGCAACATATATCAGATTATATCAGCATCATGGTTCTATCAATTGTTCCTGCCTAAGTCGTCTGGATATATGTTCTTGGAGAATAATACGTCCCTTCGGATGGCATCATGAAAAACCCTCACTCAAGCGATGAAAACCACCTGAGTCTACCGTATCCAGGATATCAACCACCAAATCAGGCCGTAGACACTAAACCTCTGGATCTTAACCTAAATTCGAAATGTTGGGGGTTGAACCAATCATGTTGCTCCATGTGTTCCTATGTGTATATAAGATAGATTCATCATATGTATGTATATATATATATATATAGAGAGAGAGATTCATCATATGTATATATATATGTATATCGAATGATTTATAGATATATCACGATATATCCATACATATATACATATATAGATCTTTTTTTGTCACTACAATTGAATGGGGGTTTGAAGCATTCACCAACTTTCACCAAACACAAACATATCATCATGTCGTATATTCCCAGGAAAAAAAACAATGAACATATCCCTTACTCTCTGGTACACTAACAGTTTGCTATGGAAAATGGGTAATTGATAGTTGATTTACCCATTAATAGCATGGTGATTTTTATTAATTTACCAGAGGGTATCCAAATGAATTTCTCCAACAGTGACTTCACCGATGGCCACTGGCCTGCTCCGGCGATTCCAAGGGCAGCACGGTGCCACGCTGGCCATTCAGCTCCAACTTGGACAGGCCCCTTGCGAACGAAGTGGAGCTTTGAAACAACAAAATACGGTTTGGAACCAGCAAACATGCGAATATGTACAGTAATTCTATAGTATTCATTAATATTCTATATAAGACACCATAAGACCAAAAACAACATCTATAACTGCACGCAGGTCAGCCCTGGCAACTTGTTTTGAACCACAAAGCGGCTATGCCGTCTCGATTTGGCGTGTCATCCTGTGCAGGTGGCTGTGCTAATCTTCTCTGACTTTCTCAGCAAGACTGAAACCTACACAACTGAACATGCTGTTTCACGTTTCAAATTGGAGTGTCTGACATCCATGCACTCCTCCCAGGATTGACATGTTCATGCAATCCTGCTTTCTGGAAAATTTTGAGCTCTCTAGGCCCAAGCCGCTAAGCACACCTTTGGCATGCGTCATATCCGATCAGCTCTCCCACAACCTTAGGGCACTTCTTCTTCGTATGGACTAACTGGTTCTTATCCATCATCATCACGTCAGCCACCAAGTAGGTGTCGCCACATTCACCACAAAGCGGCTTTCTTCCTTTCCAAGACTGTGCCAACGTCGGGCATCCACTGCTTCTATGGAATCTCCTCCCATTTGGTGTGATGATTGGCCCCACCAGGTTCGGCTTCTCTGCACTATCTGGACGCGCAGACCGAGCTCCCTCTCCTTGGTTAGGCTTTGCACCACTCGGACCCGCAGACTGGGCTCCCTCTCCTCCAGGGTTCCCACAGCGCCATCCAGGAGTGGGCACTGCTCCGCTCGGACCCGCAGACTGGGCTCCCTCTCCTCCAGGGTTCCCACAGCGTCGTCCAGGACGAGCAGACTGGGCTTCCTCTCCTCCAGGGTTCCCACAGCTCCGTCCTTGAGCGGGCATAGGAGGCACTGTCTGTGCTCCCTTTTTGTCATGTCGTTCCTCCGTGCCTTTCTCGGTTGTGTGACTGTCGCTTCTGGTAGCGAAGCTTCCTCCTTCCTGTCTTTTTTCATTGGAACCTTTATTTTCAGCTTTTCTCATCCTCAGAGTCGCCACTTTCACGGTGGTCTGTTCTCCTTCTTCACAACTTATCTCTTCTTCTTCTTCGCGTACATGAAGTTGGTGACGTTCTCGATCGCGCATGAAGCCGCGAAAGTCGCGCGTAAGGCCGCGAGAGTCGCGCATAAGGCCGCGAGAGTCGCGCATAAGGGCGCGAGAGTCGCGCGTAAGGGCGCGAGCTTGGCATTCCTCGTGATCTCTCTTCTCATGAAAGATCTTCCACATTCTTTCTACCAACTTGTACAAAACCACTCCAAGGATCATCATCAACAAGCCAAATGCCGCCAAAACTTCTGATCCTTCTTCCGTCTCACTCTTGTCCATGGCATATACTCTTTCTACCTTCTGAAGTACCGCCATGAGGGTGGCGATCTTTACCACCTTTTCCATATCTCCTGCAAAGACCTTCTTGGATACCGTCACAGCTGGTTCTCTGTCCTGTTCCTCTGCCAATTTTTCTTCCTCTTTCTCAATCCTTTCTTCCTTCGCTCTGGAGAAAGCTACTACATCTGGTAGCCATTCCAGATTCATCTTCTTTGACAGATCCTTCGTTTTGTTGGCACCAAGAAGCTTTGTACCCATGTCTGCGACGAGCTCTGTGCCCCGTCGATGGTGCATCTTCCAGTCTCCAGCTTCCACCCTCCATTTGAGGTGTGTCGCACGTACTTTCAAATGCCGTGTGCGCCAAGCTCCTGTCCGCGTGGTGGACAAAGCCACGGCTGCCATGTTGTCACATACCAGCTGCTTATCCACTCTTCCTTCCAACTCCTCCACTATGCATGCTAAAGAGTCTCCAACTATGACTCCCTCGATGGCTTCTACCAGCTCAGTCTCTGCGGTAGACAAACAGGGGAAAGGCTGTTTTGAGGACCTCCACATCACTGGCGTACCTCCCATGCTTGCTACCACTGAGCCATGCGACAAACCACCACCTGGTGCAAAACTGGCATCTGTTGCCACTTCCAGGACATTCCCTCCCTTCTTCCTGAAGTACAGTCCCATACCCCAGGTTCTGTTGAGGTACTTCATGGTGTGTGCAGCTGCTCCTGCACACCATTTTGGAGACCTGGTTGCATTTGAACAGATACGGCTGGTAGTGTAAGCTAGGTCGGGTCGGGTCTTTCCGGCCAACCACAGCAGTTCTCCGGCCAGTTTTTGGGCCAGTTGGATCTCCTCTCTTGTCCTATCTAGCTCCTCCTCCGGCTCGAAGTTGTCTTTCAAAGGGGATGCCGCAAACTCCTTGCAGTTGTGGCGCTTCAGCACTTCTTTCACAAAGGACTGCTGTCCCGCAAAGTAATCCCCTTCGTTGTTCTTGTAGATCTCGATCCCGCAGAACCGAACTGGCTCTGTTTCAGTGACCCATTGAGGTTTGGTCACTTCCCATGTCTTCTGTATCTTTTCCACCACCATGTTGGTGATCTCCGGGTTCGACATGACCAACATGTCGTCCACGTAAATCAAAACCAATCCTTGCACTCCACCTTCATCTCTAAGGCTGGTATCCTTGATCAGCCAAAGGTTTTCTTCTGCAAAACTCGGCAGCAACTTCAACGTCCTGCCTCCTTGTTGTATTTCCATGCCATGTAGGGTTCCATCCCTGTGATCACTCCACAGGCGAGGCGACTCTCTCAGTCCATAGAGGGCACGTTCCACTAGCCAAAGCTCTCCAACTTCGATCAGACCTAGTCTTTCCAGAACCCGCGGTGGTTGCATCAACACAATGCGGCCTCTGTCTCTTGTTGGGTCTTCTCTTGGTTGTGGTTTCTCATGCACGTCCCCCAGCTGCGCGTTCAAAAACGCTGCAACCACATCTAAACCTGCAATGTCCCACCCATAGCGTGCTGCCATGGACAGTGCAAGTCGCAGGCAGATTGTGTCTGCCCCTCCTGCATAGTAGTTGGCATGTTCCTCCTTGGTTTCTTTTTTGTCTCCTCCTTGAAGGTGATTCCCACACACCACCAGGCGGCATTTCCTCTTACCATCTGGTGCTTTTATCGTGTGTACTGCTTTTCCTGGCACCACCTCCAACTTGTCTGCATGCTCTCTCTTGTAGTACGCAGCTTCCTCTTTGGTCAGCCTCTTGACTGCTCCTTTCTGCACCAAATTGTTAATCTCCTTTCTGATAGCTCCAACCCACTCATCTTTGTTTTGATACACTTCCTGGTTGGAAACTACCCTGGTCTGTAGCACTTCTTCTTCAAGTCGGCCTTCTTGCAGTGCCGCCATTTCCTTTCTGATGGCAATCATCCCTTTCATCACTGCCGGAATGACCTCGTCTTCATCCTGCTCCAAAACTGCCTGGAACAGCTTGATACTTTCTGCAAATTCTTCTTCTGGAATCCTCAAAGAAGCGACTGACATCTTTTTCCTCAGTCTTCTTCGCGCTTCCATAGGGTCCCTTTCTTGAATCACTTCTTCTAACTCCAACTTCTTTTCTTCTTCCTGCGGCTCTTTGCAGTCCTGGATCAGGCAGCTCACCACCTTGAAACTTCCATCTTCTTCCATAACCGCATGTCCTTTTGAAACTTCTGGGATTGGAGTCAGGTAAGTGACTTCCTGTGCTGTCGTTTCAAACTCATCTCCTCTTTTCCATTTCCGCTTTCTTGTCACTATCTTCTGTCCAAACCTTGGCAGTTTGTCCTCAATCCTTTCAAACCTTCTTCTCTCCAGCTCTACCACATGTCGTGCTGCAATCGGCCACCACTTCGTCTCCATGCCAGAGGAGTGCAAGAGACGTCGCACCCTTCCCTTGATAGAAGCTATTGCAGCTTCTGCTCTTCCATTTTGTTGGTGTTCTTCTGGGGTGGACGATGTCCTCACAATTCCTCGGTTCAAGCACCATCCCTTCAAGTGCTTGTTGACAAAGGTTGTTTCATAGTCCGTGTGCAGGCGTACGACTGGGTAGCCATACCTTCTGAGCTTCACCACCAATTCTTGGACTCCTGACAAAACATCCAGCGCATGCTTTGAGGCTAATGGCACACATGTCATCAGCTTCAGCATTCCTTTTGTCTTCAACTTTTCTTCCAGCTTCCCTTCTTCAGTCTTCTCCTCAGCACTTTCTGCATCCTCAGGAGGCTTCTCTTCCTCCCCTTTCCTTTTCGATGCTGGTCTTGAAGGTAAACCCTCTGCTTGAGCCTCCTTCTTGGGTGGCGAGGAAGAAGACGCTGACGCCTCCCTTTGCTCTGCCTCTTCATCTTCCAAAACCGGAAGCATTTCATCATCTTCAGCAGTCTCCTCATCCAACATCCCCAAGCTTTCATCAGAGTCCTTACCTTCCACTGGCCACGTGTAGGAGCCGACCAAAAGGTATTTCTTCTCTTCACCATCCACGTCCTGACCCCACTTCAATGGGCCACAAATGTCAACAGCTAAACAATGCGCTTCTGGATCATCATGTCTTCTATGCGGCCTTTGTCTCGCTGCTGACCTCTGGCAAACCACGCAATCGCGCCGAAACGGCACATGTCCATTGTCAACGTGGGCAGTCCACGACAACTTCTTCAGTCGAACTTCTTTTCCTTCTACTTCCTCTATCAAAAGCCTTGCAACTTCATGCATCATCCCAGGAGCCCACCTCGAGAGCTTACTGGAATCCAGTTCTGGACCTTGTTCTCTGCTCCTCCCACCATGTACTAGTGGGTCTGGTGGTTGAAACCCAAGGTTTGTTCCGCATGTTGTTGGCTTTCTCGCTTCACCTCCAAAATCTCCTTGGTAAAACGTCACTTCTTCCATCTGGTAGTAGTGCTTGAACAGCAACCATGTTCGATTTCTCCACCACGAAGCGCATTCTGGACACCACTCCGGTGCTGCTGGCTGCTCCAACAGAAATCCAACCTTGGCCTTCAAACACCTCTTGCTTCTTTCTTTCACCATTGCATCTCTCGCTATCTGTGCAACCATGTACAGGGTCAGCATCCTCAGCATCAATGCATCGTCCTGCAACAACTTTCCTTGTTCATCAGGGGGAGCATCTGGAAGTCCCCAAGGGTATCCCGCCGTCCTCGATGGTCCTGGGAAGCCTTCTCTTGGTGTGTGTCGCAGCACTGAACGTGTGCGGCAATTTGGGCCACCAACCACTGCATCAATGGCTCCTAGCATTGCCAGCTTGAGGAGGGTACTGTACATCCCTCCAATTCTCAACATGTCATGATGTGCTCCTCTCTTCACGTCTATTTCGATCAACCTCGTGCCATCACCTCCCTTCTCCAAGTAGGCTCTCTTCAGAGTCAGGCCTTCTTCTGGCCCGGCGTACAAATGTACAGTGACCCCTTGTTCAATCCATCGTCTCCTGGTTCTTCTGTTGGCCTTCAAAAGCGAAAGGTCTTCGGCCGGCACTTCCACTAGGTTGTCCTTGACAAGTGAGGGTATTGAGGCCAGTACTGGATGTTTCTCTACCAACTCAGCCATCCATTCTGCGCCCCAACATGCATCATCATATGCCACTTTTTTCATGCTTCGAAGCGACATCATTCCTTCAAGTTCATCCACCATCTTTTCCGCTTCTGCCTGGGTGATCTGTGGACATCCTTCTTCGACCTCCACTGCTATCTGTCCCCTGATGGGGTGGAAAAGAAAGCATTCATCATCTTTCCACTCAAAGCTGCATCCCAGTTCTCGTACTAGACGACCAACTGGTAGTATCGGTTCCATCCCTGGTTCTTCATGTACCAGGGTTCCTCCATCCGTCATCCACATTGTCTTTGAACCTCCAGCTGCAAGGTTCACTCTCACTTTCTTGTACTCTTTGCCCTCAACCAGGTTCTCATCACTCCTCTTGGACCTCAGAGCGTGAGTGGCTCCAGTATCCAGCAACGCTTTCTTGCCGAACTTGACTCGGGCAACCATGGCAGTCTTCATCATATTGATTCTAGGCTTCCACGATCCGTCCTGAATCTGTTGCAACTCCTTCTGTAGCTCCAGCATCCGTCCTTTGGTCATTTCTTCCCTGGTCTTTGTAGGCTTTTCTTCAACTCCCATGCTCTTCAGCATCTTCGAAGCTTCTTCCATGACGCTTCGCAGAGAGTCTCCTCCAACACTAGCAACTTCTTCTTTGGTGGTCTCAGCCTCCTTTGTTGCCACTGCTGGGGCCTCAGCAGGGGCAGGGCTCTTATTGGCGGTTTTGTTGGGGGCCTCAGCCTCCTTTTCCACTTTCTGCACCTTTGGGTCTTTTTGAATGTCCTTGCGTGGACACTCCCTCGCAAAATGCTTGGTGGATCCGCACACATAGCACCTTTTCTCCCCTGGCTCTACATTGTGTCCCCAAGTGCAAGCTGCACCACGTCTGCAACCATCCTCCTGATGAAAGAACTTGCATTCCTTCACATTCTTTTTCACATTCTTGTCCTCTGTGCTCCCACTGCTTGCGGCGTTCAACTGCTTCACCTGGCTGGTTGTAGCTGTCGCTCTTTCTGCATTAGCCACCTTTGACCTTTTCTCCAAGTGGACCAGTTGCTCCAGTTCCGACAGTAGGTGTTCAGAGTACGTCCTCACAGTTTGATGGTTTGGAATTGTATCCAATTGGAGTGTGTTTCTGACAAGTGAGGTTCTGAAAGCTAGTTCTGGGTTGTTGTTCAGCAGCTTCTTCATCAACTTTGTCAGACCACGCAAAAGTATAGTGGAATCGGGTAAGCATAACCCGACATCCTGAGCTCTTCTCAACCATCGCAACCACTTCCGAAGACTTTGGACTCCAGTCACTGCGTTTCCTGCTTCGCCAGGATCCTCCAACTGACGCAGAATCACAGTTCGTTCATGTAGTCCACCAGGCTGGTAGATGGTCATCAACTTGGCAATCACCTTCACTGGAGAAAGTGACTTGGTAGCAACAAGCTCTTCTCTCACTCCAGTGGGTATGGCATCCATGAGCATGGAAACAGCTCGGCGTTCCACTCGAACCCACTTCGTCTTCTTCAGTTCTTCAGAGGCCTCGATCTCAAAGCTTGTTCTTTGAAGTGGTCGGAGCTTCACATACTCAGAGTACCATGCGCTGCATTCATCCAGCACAAGTCGCCACCAAACATGCGAACTGTCTGACAGATCCGTCATCACCGGCTCTATCATGGTCAACCAGTCGGCATAGTCAATGGGGGCCGTTTCGGTCGGCTCCTGGAGGGTCTGCAACTTGTTCACTCCAGGTTTGACCGCTTCCATCTTTTCTCCATCATCTTTACCTTGCTGACTTTCCAGAAGGTGCAACATCATCTTAGACAGGACATCAACCTGCCTTTGCATTCTTCCATCATCAGCTGGCTCCAACGCATTTCCTTGGTTCTTCCTGGCATCTCCTCCGGTCCCTTTCTCACCTGCTTCCTTCTTTGGAACATCTCTTTCTTTCTGTCGTGCTCCTTCTGAAGGTTGATGAGATTCCCAAGGTCCTCGAAGGTCTCGTCCAGGAGGTGGCTTCTTCACTGAACCCACCGCAGCATCCATCACCTTTTGCAATTCATCATATTGCTCCATCGGTGTCAACTCGTACAGCCTTCTCCTCTCGGATTCCAAGTCATTCTCTGTCTTCACAACCCGGTCTTCAGCTGCACGGCTTCCTTGCTGTTGGCTTTCAGGAGTCTGAAACCCTTCCACTTCAGGCTTAGCCTTTCTTCCTCCTTCGCCATTTGGCACCTCTACCTCAGAGGTCTTTCTTTCTTCCTTCTCCCTCAGCTTTTCTTTCAGCAACTCCTGTTCCATCTTCAGCTGCATGTTCTCTTGCTGCAACATGAAGAAGTACTGCATCATCTGCTGCTGATAAATCACTGAGGGCGTACCAGCAGGCATCGCTGCAGGTCTTTCTGCAGGTAGAAACTTCGGTCTTTCCAACTGCACATCTTCCAAAGCTAAACCTGAAGACCTGGCTTCATCCTCTATTCCTAGCTGCGTCCTCTGTGGACTTCCATACAACAGAGGTGCTCTGTTGTGCAGTTCTTCAAACTGCCTCACTTGTTCTTCGGTGAACAGCGGCTCTAGCTCTTTTTTGGGTTCTTCATTCTCTACATCTTTCTTTTCATCTTCAAGTTCCAACATTTGAGGGTTTTGAGGTCCATAACTCACAGGTCTCCCAGTTGGCCCAAGCATCTCCTCTTCTGGCCTTTCTTCGCCTGATCGGTCAGCTTCAGGACTTCCACTGGCTCTCCTGCGCATCATCATGGCTCCTCAGCAGCGGCTAACGACAGGTTGGGCTCATAACCTGCACGCAGGTCAGCCCTGGCAACTTGTTTTGAACCACAAAGCGGCTATGCCGTCTCGATTTGGCGTGTCATCCTGTGCAGGTGGCTGTGCTAATCTTCTCTGACTTTCTCAGCAAGACTGAAACCTACACAACTGAACATGCTGTTTCACGTTTCAAATTGGAGTGTCTGACATCCATGCAATAACACATGGCACACCCGGCAAATTCAGCATGGAAACATCACCACATGCTTTCCAAGAGTTGCCGTGACGTTTTCAACTTGGGGCCTGGAAACAATGACAAAAACCACCCTTGGTAGCCGAAGGGTTCAAATCTTTGGACCATTTTGAGATTTTGAGTACATGGATGAATGCAATTAACGATCGATTATCTAGTCTGTAAGTTTTCAAAGAGCGAAACATAATGAAACATATAACCTAAAAATACACAAGTTGAGACAGCCAACCGGACAAACAAAATCAACCGACATATGACGGTTCCACCTCCCCAGTTCCGCACCTAAGAAGGACCTCATCCCCTGCGCTAAAACCCCATTCCTCCATGTTAGGCCTGGGCAAAAATTGGAACACATAGTGCTTGGTCGGCGCTCATGCGGTCATGTTTTGAAATTGAAAAGGCATTCGATACGTTTCAACAGTCTTCATTCAGATGCCTTGATAGTTTTTGACAATCTTTAAAACTATCCCAGTCTTTCTCTGGATGTCCAACGTTTACCCGTGACCCGTGTAAATGTATGAAATATATTGCATAAAAAAATATGATGGGTTTAGTACGGCTGTATACGGCCAGAGATGGCCAAAGTGCGTTTTTTTTGCGATTTTTTGGGCGCGGACCCCAGAATTGTCATCCAAAATGACTAAAAAAATGCGATTTTTGGTGGAATCTTGATGTTTCTGCTAATTTGTTTCGATAATGTCAATCGAATTTGTTCGATTTTGGCAATGCAGAATCAATATTTCCTAATGAAAAACATGCGATATCATACGACCATGTTTCAAATTTCTGCCTCTAGGGGTGGTTATTGTGGGAAAACGTCCTCCAACACCTCCAGATTGATTGTGATCATAATTAATGTTGTCCAACATGTTCCAAGAGCATCGGGCCCTTTCTTGTGAGAACTGCCAGCAAAGGCCACCAGGGTGAAAGTATAGTCAACATAAAGGGAACTGAGAGTGATAGATCCAAGGCTAATATCAATAAAGGGGTTTGATTCGTCTAAGGGGACGGATCACGAGATGTCATGACACCAAAGTGTGAGAAAAACTCGGGTTTCCCTTCAAAAGAAAAACACATATTTTTGAAAAAATATGTTTTTTTGTCAAAAACTGAATCACTGAAGAAAAAAAATGTTGGAAAAATACCGACAAATTTGTGGGTTTGGGTGCGCTAGGTATGTATATATATATATATCATTATATTTATATATATATATATATATTTATATTTATATATATATATATATATATTATACTGTATATCAGTTCAGTGTACATATATACAGATACAAACATATGTCACACAGTCCCTCGGTAAATCGTCACCACTTGGTGTGTAGTTTCATGTAATCATTGAACATGTTCAGAGGATAACCTCTGTGTCCATCAATGTCCGTCCACTCATTCTATCCTCATCCATAAATCATTTGTCCCGTGCTAAACCCACACTCTGATAATTATTAAAAATACGGTTTTTGGAAACCCATATTTACCAGTAGTACCGCACAAGGCGGTGGCGGAAGTTTCAAAAATAGTAAACCTATAGGAGAGGTTGGTTGTTGTGAATCACGGATGGCAGAGTGAATCCACTGATGGACCGAAAGGTGGTTGGAGTTTTGTTTTCTGGAGTGGCTGCAATGGTTGCAGTGGTCACCTCACCACAACTGCTGGATGTAGTGTGCTGTAGTGCAGTTGTAGTTGTAGGTGTAGTTGTAGTGTAGTGGAGTTGTAGTTATAAGTTGTAGTTGTAAAGTAGTGTAATTACTGTAGTGTAGTTGCAGTTGCAGTTGTAGTTGTGGTGTGGTGTAATTAGTGTAGTGTATTGCAGTGTACTGTAGTGTCGTGTACTGTAGCGTGGTATAGTGTAGTGTAGTCTAGTGTATTGTAAAGTAGTGTAGTTGTAGTTGTAGTGTAGCGTCGTATAGTGCAATGTAGTGGTAGTTGCAGGTGTAGTGTAATGTAATGTAATTAGTGTAGTGTAGTGTTGTGTAATGTAGTGTAGTTGTAGTTGTAGTTGCGTTTGTAGCTGTAATGTACTGCAGTTTAATTAGTGTATTGTAGTGTAGCTGTAATTGTAGTTGTAGCTGTGGTAGTGGTGGTGGTGGTGGTGGCGGGTGGTGGAGTGGTGGAGTGGTGGAGTGGTGGAGTGGTGGAGTGGTGGAGTGGTGGAGTGGTGGAGTGGTGGAGTGGTGGAGTGGTGGAGTGGTGGAGTGGTGGAGTGGTGGAGTGGTGGAGTGGTGGTGAAGTGGTGGTGAAGTGGTGGTGAAGTGGTGGTGAAGTGGTGGTGAAGTGGTGGTGAAGTGGTGGTGAAGCGGTGAAGTGGTGAAGCGGTGAAGTGGTGAAGCGGTGAAGCAGTGAAGTGGTGAAGTGGTGGTGAAGCGGTGAAGTGGTGAAGCGGTGAAGTGGTGAAGCGGTGAAGCAGTGAAGTGGTGAAGTGGTGAAGTGGTGAAGTGGTGAAGTGGTGGTAGTAGTAGTAGTAGTAGAAGTAGTAGTAGTTGTTGTTGTTGTTGCTGTAGTAGTAGTAGTAGTAGTAGTAGTAGTAGTAGAAGTAGAAGTAGTAGTAGTAGTTGTTGTTGTTGCTGTAGTAGTAGTAGTAGTAGTAGTAGTAGTAGTAGTGGTAGTGGTAGTAGTAGTAGTAGTAGGAGTAGTAGTAGTAGTAGTGGTGGTAGTAGTAGTAGTAGAAGTAGTAGTAGTAGTAGTTGTTGTTGTTGTTGCTGTTGTAGTAGTTGTAGTGTAATTTGTGTAGTGTAGCGTAATTAGATGTAATTATTGTAGCGTAGTGTAATTATTGTTGTGCAATGTAGCGTAATATATTTGTACTTGTAGTTGTGGTAGTAGTGTCGTGTAGTGTAGTGGTACTTGTAGTTGTAGTTGTAGCTGTCTCTCTATCTATCTGTCTATCTGCAAGCTTGAAAAGAAGCTATTCTGCGAGACTTCCTCAGTTTTGAACTTGACAACAGCAAAGACGCAGCAATTCTGCGAGACTTCCTCAATTTTTGAACTTGACAACGTCAAAAACGAAGCAATTCTGCGAGAATTCCTCATTTTTTGAAGTTGACAACATCAAAAACGAAACAATTCTGCGAGACTTCCTTCAAAAATGGAAAGTTGAGTGCAGAGCTGACGGCCTCGTACCAATGCGTTTTGCGATTTTTCCACTCCACCTGTTTAAAGTACTGCGCCTGGCGCGAAAAAGTGATGCCAGGTCATACGAAGTGCTGCACCTGTCACGCAAAATCATCTCAGCAAACCTGAAAATCTGATGCTCCAAAATGCAAACCTTTCTCAGGAAATCAGCGCCCTGACCTCCAAACAGCTGTGATGAACATGTCTCTTGTATTGCGCCTGCCACGGAAAATGCATCTTTGCAGATCCTCTTCACGCCTGCCATCGTTTTTGGAAATGCTACAAAACCCTCACGTTTTGCTCACTTTTGACGAGGTGCACAATCCCGTGCGCCTGCCACGCGAAACGACATCTGAACTTCCAAAAGTGGTCCGAACCCCGGGTGTTTTTAACATGTTGACTTCGAAATGTGCTTCGCGCCACAACGGCGTGCACTTTTTCGACATCTCAAAAATGGTCCGAAGCTGGTGTGTTTTGTACATTTTGACTTCGAAATGTGCTTCGCGCCACAACAGCGTGCACTTTTTCGACATCTCAACTTCCAAAAGTGGTCCGGAGCTGGTGTGTTTTGTACATTTTGACTTGGAAATGCGCTTCGCGCCACAACAGAGTGCACTTTTTCGACATCTCAACTTCCAAAAGTGGTCCGAAGCTGATGTGCTTCGTACATTTTGACTTGGAAATGTGCTTCGCGCCACAGCGGCGTGCAGTTTTTCATCTCTCATCTGGCCAGCTGGCTCCGCACCCGCCGCTTTAGCGAGCCTACCTTTCGACCCTCCAGAGCCACAATACAGTGGAAATCACACAATGTTTTGCGACTTTCCTACCTTTTCGCGCACCTGCATCTTCTTTCTTCTGAGACTTTCTTTTTTTTGATCTTCTTTCTTCTTCTCTTCTCTTCTCTGACTCTTCCCATCTCTGCTTTTCATCTGTCCATATTGTCGGAAGTTTGACTTCTAAACTTCCTTCGATAAACCGTATTAAACCCATAATTAACCCATACTAACCCGAACTCAAAATATACTTTTGCCCCTGGGAATGGATGGCTACAATGTCGAGTTGTTAGGCTCCGCTTGCCGTTTTGCAAGATCGAACCGACAATTGCCGGATCCAGACCCCAAAAAAACGATGCGGATTATCGGAGCTATTGTAAGCTTGCTGGGCGCGCATCTGAAAAACTGACTTTTGAAATGCCATGCAGAAAAACAATGAAAAACATACTTTTTGACTACCTCCAGTCCCGCTAGCTTGGGAAAGTTCGCAGCTTGGGAGGTAGCTGCGGCCGGCGGAGAATGCTTCGGTTTCGATGGTGTATTCCATCCAGATTACAGAAATTGTCAGTATGAAGTTATGAAGTTGCTACATGTGTTGAAGCAGAAATTTGATACAGCTGTGCCCGATTTCAACAAATGTGTGATTATCATTGAACATCCACACAAAACAAAATATATACGTTTTTTTTTCAAAAAACATGTTTTTTCCTCGAAAAACAAAATAGGTTTATTGACTTACCTACTCTTTTTAGGGTCTTTGAAGATCCTGGTAGATTATTAACGTAACTGGGTGATTTTTTGGGCAACTGGTTGGTAAATATTCCAGCACCATGGTTCGCATATGGGTATGATTATTCACCGCTTCAATGATCCTGGAAGTAGATCCTGCTGTGAAGCCGAGCGGCAACCACCCATGACATGGTCGCGGACCAAAATTCCGTGCCAAAGAACAGTCGTTGATGCATCATGAGGTTATTCTCGCGTGGGCAAAAACACAAACCCTTCAATAGCTACTGAAGTTTGGGGGATTTAAATGGGGATAGAACATTTACCACCCATGACTGCGGTTCATTTTATACCCATTTCTCGGGGTATACCCAATTTCATAAACTTCTGTTGGGAATGGTTGGTTTATTGTGGGGTTCACCACATATCATTACAAACTAAAGGGAAGAAACATGTCGACTTGCCCAGTTGTCTCAAGTGGGGGTTAAACTTTCATTCCCAAGTTCAACAGCAGTCTGTTTCTCAAGCACTACAGCTGCGGCACGAGTCATTGGCCAACTCAGTGCAAATCAGTAGCATAGTGAAAAGATTGTGTTTTGATGTATTGATTAGGGTATGATCATCCCACCATCATTAGGGGTTCCTTGTCTTGCATATATTAAGCCCAATTGGCGGAATGATGGCCTTCCTCTTTTTGACAATGGCACCTCTTGTCCGCATTTGGGAAATCCTCAACATGATCGACCACTAAACCTGGTACCTATCGCCCCATTTGGTGCCCTTTGATTGAAAATATATGTTCGTGCAGCTTGGACCCTTAAGTGTTTGACAAACACCACAGTGTTCAATTTCGCTTCTGACCGATGCAATCGAAACAACGACTTTGAAGTTTTCGTTGTTTGGAGACAACTCGTTCGCCTTGCCAGACAAACACTTGCAATGCGTTTTGGAAGACACTATTTAGCCACATGACCGGACGTCATGTGGAAGCAGTTCCCATACCTACACGAACGTATCACTGTGGGAAATATTTGGATGGCTAGCCTCAGGCACCACACACGATACATCACATGTCCACCAAAATGACCAAACCATTTACCATGGTTTACTGTTTGCCAAGTACATTTAACCAAAATGTTGCGTAAAAAACAGCTCAGTGATTCTTTTATACCACATTTTCCAATGCTTGCAGGATATTATGTTATACTCCCATGAAAACTACTGAAAACTTACCATGCACCTAACTTCACAACCGAAACTACCCCCCGCCCACACCTTTCAGGTCGCTATCGCCGGTTCAGCCTGCAGAGTCTTCTCGGAACTGCGAAGAGTCTCGAGCTGTGCCTGGCGCGAAACTTTTTTTGGGATGGTCATTCACCATGGTTAAATCAAAGGGGAAAAAGCAAATAAGATGGGAATATCATTCTCTGGTTGGTGGTATACCTATCCCTCTGAAAAAAAAATATGAGTTCGTCAGTTGGGATGATTATATATTCCCAACTGAATGGAAATTCATTAAAAAAAATGTTCCAAACCACCAACCAGATATATTCAAAGCAACACATGTTTCACGGGGGAATTTGTCATTTGTTGAGCACCACCTCCTGGGAGAGTGAAACCACCAAGTTTTCTCTGCCTTAGTCGAACAAACATGGTGTTTCTGGTGTTTCAATATATTGAAATCAATTTGTCAAACTCATAAACTATTCAAACTATCCGCATAGGTATCAAATTATGTTGGGCCCGGTTTTCCGATGGTTATATCAAACCTCAACATGACAAGTTGTGTGGGTCGTACTACGCATGCATAGGCCCAATATCTCACAGGAATCCCTAATTGGTGGGTGTCATGTTGCCACAGTTCGTTGACCCGGATGTTTGCTCGGTGAAATATGGTGAAACAACATAGTGAAATGGAAATACATGGACATACTATGGTTTTCTTCTACATTCGCCTTTGACGTGGGATCCATGCACAACTTTTCCTGGTGGCAAGCCCAGTTAGGGTGTGTCAAATCTTCGGGCTCTGGAATCTACATTGTTTTGTCTTGTTTGAGGATTAACAAGCATTGATGTTACGTAATCCCATGTTTGCACCAAGTTTAACCGAAACCAATTATTGGTTTCTGGTGGTCGCGGAACCAAGAAACAATGGGCAACCAGCTTCGTAGCAATTCTTCAGCAACATGTTTCGGTGAATATCTCTTCAGTTCAATTGTTGTGCGGTATACTGTGCACCCAATCATTCGCAATGACAAAAATCCACCATGCAGCAATCATTCGCCTGCTTTTTGGAGCTTAAAGTTGGAGATCATTATCAAATTGCACCCGTACAGGAATCATTCATGACCTATACTGTACCTCCAATATTACCCCGATATTAACCCCAAACTCATAGCTGGCAAGAATCATCATTACCCCATGCTAAGTATGAACAATGGTCACCTCAAGTTTGCCTTAACACCCTACATGTGAAAAGTCGCCTCCAGCGCTTGAATTTGTTGCGGATCCCCCCGGGATCGCAGTTCTGTAGTCAGTTCTTCCACTGTCCTGTGAGGGGAGCTGAGGATGATTTCACTGTACCCTCTACCCTCTGGTAATTTAACATAGCTCTGGAAAATTGCTCATTTAGTTCTGTGATGTTCTGTGATTGTCGATGAATCCATGATTTACCTACATATGCAAAATATTAGAACATGGAGATTTTCCATTGCTCTGTTCGACTACCAAAGGGCAATCCCCAAAAAGATTCAAAAACGGTGTAGCTTGCCACTCTTTTTGGATTGAATTTATTTTTCAAGCTTTTTCGGAGTCTACCTTGCTATAGACTATGAGAATTGCTATGTTTCAACAAGAAAACTTGGTAGTTCACCCATCAAAACGGGATTTCACAGAGAAATATTAGGTTCCCTCAATAAAAATCACGATTGTACCGTTTGCACACCATTTTTGCCGGCCCACTTTCGCCCACCCCAGAGCTGCCTGGCCAAGGTATCTTGTTCAGCCAGATGACGTGCCTGCGCATGAACATCTGATGGTCATCCTGGAGAGCAAAGATAGTAATTTTATGTATAAAAATGTTCATGAAATCTTCATTTAAATGACGATTCTTGAAAGTTCAATAGTGTTCCATATTCATTTTTTCTTTCAATATATCGTTACAACCGTAGATGTCTGAATTACAGTCGTTCCAATGGGAAACTATAAGCTATAGATCTGTCTTTATTTGATAAACAGTTTCATGCTGGAGAGCTACAGTACAGGGGTCATATCCCCTTGTCCCTGGAGATGAACACCATACCAGGAGCACCCTGCAACTGAAAATGTTGGATTCCCTGAATATCAATGGTTTTTCATTCTGTTGTATTAGTATGTATTAGTTTGTCATGTTTTTCCCATTCAAATCATTGACAGTATTGAACGTTGATGAACGTTGCAAGTTTGAGTATAGCGGTAGACCCCACTGTATTTACAACACGCCTTTCTTTCCATGACAATGGTATAACATGGTTATCATCTTGGATGCCGTCCTTTGACCAATGGCTACCACCGTCCACAAGCTCTCCGCTGCGGCCGCCTCTTTTGGCTCAAACTGCTCTTTACGGGAGCACAGAAATCACCAGATGCACCCAGGAGATCCAGGTTCTCAATCCATTTCTGGGATTTGAGATTCAACCGCCTATTTCCTTTCAAAAACACTCTCAAGAGGCACAAAACTAGCACACAGCGCGTGGCCATGCAGCGCCACACCTATACGCTGCGATGACTTGGGCCCGCTGACAACCCAATTTTCAGCACCTGCATAGGTGCAATGGCCTCGATGCACAGGGCTTGGGCCTCGACTCTTGGCCTATTGAGCTTCCCCTGAAGTCATGGAGATTGTCCAGAAATGCGATGGCTCCATGGCTCACATTCGCCGGCTGCAAGGCTGCCGCTCAACAAACGCAACCGTTCGGTTCGAGGCTGGGGACTCAACACCCATCTGCTACAGTTGCCGTTCACTGCGATTCGGCATATCACGTCATCTCCTGCTGGGAGGGTGTCCCTGCGCGTCCGATGACCAAGCCAGCAGCTTGGGACTTAGCTAAAACGCTGGCGGACTCCGAGTCGATGTCTTGGAGGAGGCTGATTAACCTGGGAGATGGGGCCACAGAATGAACCTTGGGAAAGTTAGGAAATCTAATTGTTGTACATTTTGGTGGTTGATAACTAGTACAATCAATTCCTATCAGCCTTTCAGAGTTAGGTATATAACTTGTTTTACAACACACATTGGTAATTATAGTTGGAGTCATACTAGGTAAATCGACAACAAAACATATATCAGGTATCATAACTAGGCTAACTGTTGGGTGTATTGAGCAATCAACTCGACATATATCCAACTACGATGGGGTGTAAACTACAGAAACTCACAATGGGACGGGATGATGTCTGCAAAAAAATCATCATAATGGCCGTGTTGTTGATATGGGTGGGCCGGGGAACATATTGGGAATATGTTTATCGGCCCAGTCACAATGACAAAGGTAGGTTTCGATCGCTTAGAAAAACCATGCCCCACCACAAAATCTGGCCAACCTCGTAACTGATGGAAGGTTCTCACTGATTCTCATGCATTCCAACAATTCTTGGTCAGGAGAATCATCAGGATTCTACGAACAATTCATGTGGCAAGTTCAATAATCAACCATACCTTGCTTACATCTGTTTACCCTTTTTAACCATGTGAAGGGCACTGCATTCTCCCAACTCCTAAGAAAATAGAACAGTAAAATCCGCTAAAATAATGGTACATTTACATTTTCTGAATATATTTCGGGTTACTGTAACTAGTAGGTCACCAATCTGGTTTTGAATTCATGATTTTCTCTACCCTCTGGTAATTTAATATAGCTATGCAAAATCAACGTCGTTAACAGGTAAATCATTGAACTAAACGGACCATTTTCCATAGCTATCTTAAATTGGTGAGTAATTGTTCATCCAATATGTACCAGTAGTACCGCACAAGGCGGTGGCGGAAGTTTCAAAAATAGGAAACCTATAGGAGAGGTTGGTTGTTGTAAATCAGGGATGGCAAAGCGAAGCCACTGATGGACCGAAAGGTGCTTGAGGTCTCCTCTCTTTCTCTCTCTTTCTCTCTTTTTCTCTCTGTTTCTTTATCTTTCTCTGATTATCTACCTACCTACCTACTGATCTATCTGTCTACCTATCTATCTGTCTATCTATCTATCTGTCTATCTATTTATCTATGTATCTATGTATCTATGTATCTATCTATCTATCTATCTATCTATCTGTCTATCTGTCTATCTGTCTATCTGTCTATCTGTCTATCTGTCTATCTGTCTATCTGTCCATCTATCTATCTATCTATCAACCAATCTGTCTAGCCATCTATCTATCTATCTATCTATTTATATATCTATTTATATATCTATCTATCTGTCTATCTCTCTCTCTCTCTATCTCTCTCTCTCTCTCTTTCATCTGTCTATCTGTCTAGCTGTCTACCTGTCTATCTATCTATCTACCTATCTATCTGTCTATCTGTCTACCTGTCTATCTGTGGTGCAGCGTCATTCAGTGTAATGTAGTGTAGTGTAGTGTAGTGTAATGTAGTGTAGTGTAATGTAGTGTAGTGTAATGTAGTGTCGTGTAGTGAAGTGTAGTGGAGTGTAGTTGTGTAGTTGTAGTTGTAGTGTTGTGGAGTTTAGTGTAGTGTAATGTAGGGAAGTGTAGTGGCAGGTAGTGTCGTGTAGTGTAATGTAGTGGAGTGTAGTGTAATGTAGTGTAGTGTAGTGGAAGGTAGTGTCGTGTAGTGTAATGTAGTGTAGTGTAATGGAATGTAGTGTAGTGTAATGTAGTGTAGTGTAGTGTAATTTAGTGTAGTGGTGTGTAATTTAGTGTAGTGGAGTGTAGTGGGTGTAGTGTAGTGGAGTGTAGTGGAGTGTAGTTGTGTAGTTGTAGTTGTAGTGTTGTGGAGCGTAGTGTAGTGTAATGTAGTGAAGTGTAGTGGAAGGTAGTGTAGTGTAGTGTAGTGTAATGTAGTGTAGTGGAATGTAATGTAGTGTAATGTAGTGTAGTGTAGTGTAATGTAGTGTAGTGGAAGGTAGTGTAGTGTAGTGTAATGTAGTGTAGTGTAGCGGAGTGTAGTGTAGTGTAATGTAGTGTAATGTAATTGGGTGTAATTGAGTGTAATTGAGTGTAATTGAATGTAATTGAGTGTAGTGTATTGGAGTGTAGTGTGGTGCAGTGGAAAATGCTACAAAACCCTGACGTTTTGCTCACTTTTGACAAGGTGCACAATCCCTTGCGCTTGCCACGCGAAGCGACATCTGAACCTCCAAAAGTGGTCCGAACCCCTTGTGTTTTTACATTTTGACTTCGAAATGTGCTTCGCGCCACAACGGCGTGCGCTTTTTCGACATCTCAACTTCCAAAAGTGGTCGGAACCTGGTTTGCTTTGTACATTTTGATTTGGAAATGTGCTTCGCGCCACAACGGCGTGCACTTTGTCGACATCTCAACTTCCAAAAGTGGTCCGAACCTGGTGTGCTTTGTACATTTTGACTTGGAAATGTGCTTCGCACCACAACGGCGTGCAATTTTTCATCTCTCATCTGGCCAACTGGCTCCGCACCCGCCGCTTTAGCGAGCCTACTTTTCGACCCTCCAAAGACACAAATCATTGGAAAAACACAGTGTTTCGCGACTTTCCTACCTTTTCGCGCATCTGCATCTTCTTTCTTCTGACTCTTTCTCTTCTACTCTTCTCTCTTCGAATCTTTTCCCTTCTCTCTGCCTCTGCCCTGCTCTGCTTTTCGTCTGTCCATATTGTCGGAAGTTTGACTTCTAAACTTCCTTCGACTAAGTATATATATATATATATACACATACATATAAGTATAAATATGACCAGCAAACCAATCATCGTCAGCCTGACAAGGCATTAATTTCCGCTAAGCAACATCTCCACGTTCAAGTCTTCAGGCAGCGATTGAGCATTAGTCTCCTATATGGTGGATGACCATCCCACTGTAGGACCGGGTCTGGAAGCATTGCGAGTCCGTAAGTAACCCAGTCTCTCAGCTTGTCGTCATGTGCTATAATATATATATATAATTAATATATATATATATATATGAGAGTATATATATAATTATATATATATATATTTATATACAATGTACATACTATGTATATATATATATACATAATCGTACATACCAGTACATATTATAAACTTGAACTATATACTGTAACACTTTGACCCAGTGTGAGAGAGTTTGTGCCATTGAAATCTCCATTGATCTATATGTGGAATACACTGTACTGACTTCCAAATATCAAAAACCCTGCTTTCGTCCTATAGATCTACCAAAACACTACCAAAACACATTCCGGCGGTAACCTACCATTTCGTCATGGGTTACTGGAGGGTGTAGGTATATGCAGTGGAGTTCTTGGAGGTTCATCCCACTTATTAACTGTTTAGTAACTATAGTTACAAGCCATCTATACATGGAATAACGCTAACTTAGATAGGGGACTTACTAACCAGGGTTACTAATTAACCACTTAGCAAGTGGGATGATCCTCCAAGTTCCCTTAGGACCTTGGGAAAGTTCATGAGGATGGGACCCGCCAGGCTCCTCGATGGCTTTGAGGATTTGTGCTCCCTCAAAGCCCCTCAAGAGCTGCGATGGTTCCACAGCCTTGGTGCCCGAGGGCTTCAGTGGGACACCTTGGACTTCCATGCCATTTCCTTTCTGAGAAGATCCTGGTAAAGATATAAAGGTTCCTAAGTCATGGCGGTAACCCCCAGTTATCATCCATTTGTTCATAGGATTTTCCAGTATAAACCATCCATAAATTGGGGATCCCCCATCGATGGAAACCCTCACATGCTGACAACCCGAAGCACTTTTGGAACCACAATGAACCATATATATATATATATATGGTGTTTCTAAGGCTTGGCTGGGACCTTGACGCCCCGAAAGTTGTGGGACGATGTTGGTGGAGAGTTATACTAGGTATATAAATCCATCCATGCGTGTATATATATGTATTTATATGGAAAATGATCCCTGATACGGTTAAAACAATAAGCCAAATCCAGCTAAGGTACAACAGATATGGAAAAGCCATGAAAACCCATTTTTTCCCGTTGGGACAATCATCGACTTTTCTGGTACTTTTCCAGATGTGAATTGACTGGAGGGTACCAGCAAAATTCGAGGAAAATTCTTCCGGAAGTCGGAAGTGCGAGTTTTGCTGGTGGGTAAATCCTACTTACTTCTGCTTACCCTCTGGTAAACTGACATAACTATGGGAAATCACCATTTTTAATGAGTAAATCAACTATAAATGGCCATTTTCAATAGCTATGTTTGTTTACCAGAGGGTACACTACATCCCTTACTGATCTACCCCCTGGTTGTTGGATGTCTATCCCCTCCCCCTTTGCCATGCGGCTCTGATCAGCCTCTGGCATTCCTGTTCCAAGGTTTTTCGGCCAGGGCCAGGCTCGGAGTGAACAAGGGGGAAAAAAATCAGGGAAATTTTGAGAACGCTTAAGATTTTTGACCGAAGAATTTCATCTATTTTGAACCACAATCAAGCACAAAAATGTTTATCACCGTACCCAAATTTGGAACAATATTCCGGGATAAAAAATGGGATGTATTTTGAAGCATTATCCGGTAGGTGGAGTTACCCATTCTTGACTTGTTGACCAAAATGATGCATTACATGTGCGTTTTTTTGCAGGTAAAGATCCAAGTTGTGCTTGTAAAATATGTAAAAAATGCGGATTTTGGTTGGTCAAACTTTGGGTAGCAAGATTTTGGTTTTGATGACATGACACTCATATGACTCATATGTTCGAATCGGTCTTCAATTGGGACCCATGACCCATGACCCATTTCTGGTCGGAAAAGCCCCATCATGGAACTCTCTACAGAAACCTTCCTGGTTCAAATCGTTCAACTTAGTTCATTTGGACTTTGATACATCTTTGGAGGCTTCCTCAAGCAGGGTTACCCATGGTTACCCCCCATCCAAAATTAGATTTCATTGATTTCATGGTTACCTGCAGATCCTCCATTGTTTAAGCCCCAGGGCGACGCATTGTGTCCGAACGCCTCGCTCATCTCCTGTCCCTTCAGCTCCGCAGTCACCGCAAAGGCTTCCGCTTCCCGCACCTGCGATGGGGTGACTTGGTCTGTAGATGTCGGGTGAGGTGATGTTATGTTAATGTAACGTAACGCAACGTAACGTAAGATAACATAACATACCATAACATAACATAACATAACATACCATAACATAACATAACATAACATAACACTATGTATGTATGTATGTATGTATGTATGCATGTATCTAAGTATGTATGTATGTATGTATGTATGTATGTATGTATGTATGTATGTATGTATGTATGTGTGTATGTGTGTATGTGTGTATGTGTGTATGTATGTATGTATGTATGTATGTATGTATGTATGTATGTATGCATGTATGCATGTATGCATGTATGCATGTATGCATGTATGCATGTATGCATGTATGCATGTATGCATGTATGCCTGTCTATCTATCTATCGATCGATCTATCGATCTATCTATCTATCTATCTATCTCTATCTATCTCTATCTATCTATCCATCCATCCATCCATCTATCTATATGTATATATATATATATTTCTTATCGATCTATATATTTACATATCTATCTATCTAATCTATCTATCTAATCTATCTATCTATCTATCTATCTATCTATCTATCTATCCGTCCATCCATCTATCTATCGATCTATCTATGTGTGTTTCTATCTATTTATATATACATATAGCTATCTATGTATGTACATCTGTCTATGTATATCTATCAATCTATCGATCGATCTATCGATCGATCTATCCATCTATCGATCGAGCTATCTATCTATCTATTTATCTATCTATCTATCTATCTATAAATATATATATATATATATATATGTATATATATATATGTGTACATATGTGCATGCATGTATGCAATATATCTAGTCGATGTAACATATGTAATGTATGCAATGCATGTAATGCAATATGTGTTATGTTTGCAAGCTATGCAATGTATGTAATGTATGATATGTGATGCAATGCAATGTATTTTATTGTATTTGATGTAATGTATGTAATTTATGTAATATATGTAATGCAATGTATGCAATGGAGCGCATTGTTGTGCAATGTAGCGCAGTGTAATGTTAGTGTAATGCAATGTAATTGAATGTAATGTAAGGAAAGGTAAGGCAAGGCCATGTATGTAGGCAGGTAGGTAGGTAGGTATGTAATGCATTTATGTATGTTACACTGGCAGTCTGTATGAAATCTTAATAACAACTAAAAGGGGATTCTTTCTGGGACTGAAGTCGTTTTGTTGATATCAACTGATTTGCCAAGTGCTTGACATACATGTGATGTAATGCACAAAGTGCTTGTCCAGTTTCCCTACATATTGGACGGGCATATTATATATATATAATTACATAAACATTCGTAAGTGAGTGCATATATATATATATATATTTATTTATTTATTTGTTTGTATTTGTATAACCGCTTATATGATATGTATATATTCTAGACTGTTTATGTTCCTTCAGCTGGTGCTCCCGGCCTTAGCTTCACACAGCTTCGCCATATCCAGCCGCGCCGTATCCATGTTGCGCCGCTGCTTGGTGGCCTCATTGAGGGCGTGCATCACCTGCGAGGCCAGGTTTATGGCATTGGCTTTACCACATATGGGGGTTTCCTAAAATAGGGGTATCATAAAACTATTGGAAAACTATTGGATTTATACAAATAAAGGTTTCCATAAATGTGGATACCCCAATTTATGGATGGTTTATTTCATGGAAAATCCGATCTATAAATGGATGATTTAGGGGTACCCCTATTTTAGGAAACATCCATATATGTCCAATATATAATGGATAGTTGAACTAATATATACTGGTGAATTTTTACTGGCAATGGAGATTTGAACTAAAAATACCAGTAAAAACATAGATTTTCTTCGGCAGGAATGGACATCTTATCAACTACAAGGAAAATTGTGCTTGAGTTGCACCCTAAATTTTCCGCATTTGGCGTCTGAGACGTTATATACAGGTAAGATCAGGTAAGGCCATTGCAGATCCACACATGGGGTAACCACAAATCATTCATTTATAGAGGGATTTTCCATGTTTTTTTTACCATCCAGAAATTGAGGGTACCGCCTATGGAAACCCATGGAAAACCCCAAATCTGTGGCATTTCAGGCACGATAGGGAAAGCACACCTCTGGACTCACTTCCAATTCCGTGATCTGCAAGGAATGGATCGCCTGGGGCGAAAAAGCACAGCTTCATCTGGTTGCGGGGATCAATGGATGGGTTTTAAAGAGCAAAGCCACAGGAAACCATGGGAATGTCCTGTAACTTGCATCCAATTCTGGGACTTTATCCGTGTGTTCTGAATCTAACCATAAATTTCATGTGAATTAATTCAACACATCCCTCGTTTTTGGACAAAAGGATTTCTGCCAGTTTTTTAGCCCATGGCAAACCTGGTAGTTTCATGTAGTTTCAACCCATCTTACGAGATGGCAATGCAGCTTGACTGGTCCCCCCTTTCACTGATAGTGTTCATGAGAAAATTATGACTAACCTCTGGATTCTGGGGATATTATATGTTCAAACAAATCTAAATAGCTCCAAAATTGAGTCTGCTTTTCACGCCGTTTGCTAATCTAGGATATCGGATACTCAAAAAAATGAGGCTTTCTCGATCCACCAATTTGTAGCCTCCAATTCTACGCTACTAAGCAACCGTTTGTACTATATATATATATATACTGCACAGACACATCATACGTCCGGATCAAAAATGAAACTCCCCATCACCAATCGCATTTACCACATAACCTTCATTGTTGCTCATGAAATCCAGAATTGTCCTGTTTAAATCCTTTCTGTTGTTCAATCAATAGCTACGGCCAAGCTTTTACAATGTTTCACATGTTGCACCACGACAACTGAGCGACAAAGCCGTAGCTCTTCAAGTAGTCGCTCAGTTGCCCGTGCAGCGCCGCTGTCATCTCATCCTTCTTGCCGAACCTGCTGCGCAGCATATCAATCCAAATCTGGGGCTCTCATGGTGCTTGACCATCTGGAAAAGTCAATCTTCATTTTCATAGGACACATTTCTCCATATCTCCATCAGAGTTGCTGATAGAATAGCGTTTAGCCCGGTGGCTTTGAGTTTGGGGATCCCATTTAAAGGTCAACGTGTTGGAACCTGTTTGAGCCGATCGGAAAGACCAACCGACAGCAATCAACGAGTTGTTGTTGTTTCTTGGCTTTGTTGAGGGTACATACGAAAATTTACTAGAAAAAATCCTTAGATATATCAAATCAATGGAAACTAAATCCATACTCTGAATCGAGCGAAAGGTGAACGTTACAGGTCAATGATAACTGCCATGAAAATATGCAAAATTGGTCCATGTGAAACGAGTATACAATCTCAAATGTGCCATGGTCTGAAAAATAAAATACGGAAATTTATGGCAGATGGTCATCCAAATTCCAGCCGGGATTGTATATACATATACAAAGTAAAACAAGTACATTATATTGTATACAACAATTGCATGCCGGATTTTCTCATTGTTGCCGAAATAATTGGGTGTCATAACTACTTGCACATGCCTCACCTATCTTCCCCTACTTCCAGCAATAGCAACTTGCGCAGTTTGCACCGTTTTTTGTTGCCTGCAGCTGAGTGGCACTTCTTCCAAGGTGTATCGGTTGAGATAGCTGCGAATCGGCCCGATCAAAAAGGATCGCAGCGTCCCGGCCAGATCTTGCTGCAACAGCTTGTAAATGGCATCTTTGGCCATCTTGGGCATTACCGAATACCTGAGCTGCAAAACAGAGAAGTATAGTGTTTGTAGCGTTTTTTTTTTTACATGTGTATGTGTATATATGTATATGTATGTTTATGTGTGTATATCAAAAATTATATGAATATGTATATACAGTATATCAAATATAAATGCAAATGAATGTGTATGGTGCTAATGACTAGTGCATCTATATATATATACATATGCTAACCCACCCCCTGAAACCTACCGGTTTCGATTTTTTATTGTGTTTTACAATGATTTTTGTTGGCTTTTGCCTTCGAAAGCAGCCAGCATTTGTTCATTCATTTGAAGACTTTGGATGCTTGAACATGATGAGTCATGATGCTTCATGTGCAGGTCAATGACATATTCGATGGTAGTTGCAGCGTTTTCGACTACCGTATTGTGTTCCCAACAAAGGGTTACAATTCAAACATTGACAGAATGCGCACGGCACTGTGGCCAAATGTCAATTTTAAACTTTACATGTTTTTTTACAATGTTTTTGTTCCTTCTTGTGACACGTGAAATTTTGGATTTTGTATGCTTTCAGATCTTGCAGGCATATTATTTGATGATTCAAAGTTTTGATGCTGTGCTGTTGAATGGCATGCAGACAAGATGGCTGGCTCCGGATCACTTTTTTTACAGCTGCACATCCCCTGCAGAATCGTCTTGGCGAACTATGGAACCATTTTGGCCATACGCCAGGAGCAAAGAGAACCGCAGGCGAGCCAAAGATCACTGTTCCTGTGCCAGTACTCGCACTGAGCACTTCTGATCTTGGCAAGGCAGCAGTGGTGAACCGACAGTCGCGTTCTGGTTCAAAGTGATGCGCTCCTTGAGGAAACGCCACACGCGATCAATGATCTGTGTGCCACCTTTGGTCTTGATAAGGCGGCCAGTGAAGGGATCCTTGTGCGAGGCCAGTTTGACATAGCACGGCTTTCGCCACATCCATTTTCCTTTCACTTTGACTCGTTTCTTGCAGTGACGCACAATGTCATGGAGAACGCTTGGCGTCTTGACCTTGTAAGACCTGGCCGCGTCAGTATGGAGAATGATACGACGGTACTTGAGGTGCTTGTTGGCCAGAGGGCTCCACTCCTGCTTTCTGATGGCTCCGGGCCCTGGTGCTCGTTTGGCGGATGTTTTGGGCTGCAATCGGTGCAGGAGTAAGGTCTTGGGCTGACCATGTTGGACAATGCCGCACCACTGCTCCCAAAGCACTGGAGCTGTGGGATCTGCCGCCATGTCCTTCAAGCCCTCGGTGGTGAATTTCATGTAGCTTCACGAGTCCGAGGATGACTTCTTGTCTTCCGGCATCTTGTCTTCCGGCTTCCTATCTTCTAAGGCCAACTGCTGAGCACTCCTTTTAGGATTGGCCAGGAGGGTCTCAAGCCGCCTTTGCGCCTCCTCATTCCACCCACCACTGCCGCCGGGCTGGAGCCGAAGTTGCCGTTGAATGGTCCCCATCATGGTGGTCACATCCTTCTTCTGGAGAGGTTGTCGGGTCGGAATGTGCCACCAAGGTTCCTGCCGCAATCTTGTCCAGCATCTTCTGTGTAGATGGCCGCGTCATTGTACTCTTGATGCCTGGTTCATTCTGGACGCCCAAGGTCATCATAGCCATCCCGTTTTGCAGCTTCACAGTTCCCTCGACGTTGAAGTTGTTAGTGGAGAATGCCATGATAGAAAGAGAGGATGGAATGGATGCGTTGGTGGCTGAAAGCAAAAAGCGAGAAAGGAAGTAAGGCACACAGACCGGAAGAGATGACAACGTAACTGCAGGAATGCCTTCAGAATGCGTTCTTGCCCTAGTTCTTTGGGAATCTTAGATTTAAAACCAAGAGCCAAGAACCAAGATTTGCTCAGGAGTCTTTGGGGAATCTTGGTTCTTGGTTTTAGTTCAGAAATTCCAAGATTTGTTCAGGAGTCCTGGGGGAATCTTGGTTCTTGGTTCTTGGTTTTGGTTCGGAAATTCCAAGATTTGTTCAGGAGTCCTGGGGAAATCTTGGTTCTTGGTTTTGGTTCGGAAATTCCAAGATTTGTTCAGGAGTCCTGGGGGAATCTTGGTTCTTGGTTCTAGGTTTTAGCAGAGGATGCATTCTGAACGCATTCTTCACAGAATGCAGAGAATGCATTCTGAATGCATTCTTCCCAGAATGCTATCATTGAAGTTAAGTTCAATCAGTCTCAATAGCATACTTACTACACTATTAGAATATATATATATATATCATAATACCCTTAGCGTGTATGTAAGGTAACCCCCTTTTGACCCAGCCATCTGATGAATATGTCAAAAAGGTAGGTTTCAGGGGGGTACCATATATATGTAGACGGCAAATATATTATGTATAGTATATTCATATAGGGTGTAATAGTGTGTATTAAACTGTATTATATAAATGAAAAAATATCGTGTATATATATATATATTAAGTTTATAGCGTGTATGTATATATATATATATGGTATCTGTACACACATTATACATTCTATCATGTATATTATATGCAAAATACATCAACATACTATACGGCATAGTACATCCAATAGGCGATCCAGTAGGTAGTCTATAAGGAACCAACGATGGTGTTGTGTGACTTTCCCAGTTGTTTTTCACGCAAACAATAAGATTCATCTTGTAGGGTTGTCACGCCATTGATTTACCATAAACTGCGTAGTTTTGTTTCGCCTCCAGAATGCGGACATTTTGACACATAGAAAATTTGAAAATGATGTGTGTCAGAAAATTTGGGTTTGGTCCAAATGCATTTGCATTGATGAATACTGTCATCTGAAATGTCATCACCTCCTAACCCATACACATGAAACGGATGCCGATAAACTGATAAACATACAAAGAACATTCAACTGAGAACCTTTTTCAAAGTCCGGCAAACGTGGTGACGCAAAGGGGCACAGGGCACACATACACACATTCACAGAGGCAAACAAGTGCAAACACAGAAACAAGCGTACTACAACATGTTTTTGTCAATAGCGTTCCCGCGATGCTACGCAAAGAAAGACATGCCATGAACTGGCATTTCCCTGATTGTAAGACGAAGCCATATGATGATCGCCAGCAAGCCCATCACCATCATCACCATCATCATCATCATCATCGTCATCATCACCTTTCAACCCCCCTCAGGGATATAAATGATCCATGATGATATACTTCATCCTCCAGAATATATGTGCCATAAAACTCTACATGATAAGGATTGGTAGTGATGATGCATTTTTTTGTCATCAACCCCGGAAATAATGAGAAATCAAATCAGCAGCGTCTGTCATCCCTTTGGCGAATACGATTCCCCATAATGGACTATGACTATGATATATATATATATATATAGATACATAGATAGATATGATATGTATAATTCAAATATATTGGGTACTAGTAGTATAATATATATAATATATATAAACCCCAACAATGAAGCAACAGGGATTAGAAAAACCCCGGCAAAAAAAAAAAAACAACAACATGGGTCCCTGGGTCACATGAGTCACATGTCAAAACCTTACCTGCCATGGTTCATTTTCCAGGGAATGAACATCAATAAATCCAAGGGCTAATCTATTTGCTGGTTGGGAAACTCGATTCGTAGCTCCTTCGCTCCCCATTGAATAGGGAATAAAAAAAGGGAATATGAATACCCCTAGCTCCGAATCGCTCCCTCCGAACCACTGGATAGTAATTGCACGACTTTGACACATACCCATATGAAATCCAAGGGCTAATTGAATAATTCTATGGAAAAATATGCGTCAACAAAAATGCCATCGTTCTGAACGTTCTCCCCAAAAAAAATCATCGTGGCCTGGGGCCCCCAATCATCAATCATCCCCCCAATCCCAAGACCGGGCAGGCGAAGTGGCTGGATCAACACTTGGGCAGTGATAAATTCGTGATCCCTTGTCCTCATGGCTTGGAGAAGCTCGACGTCTGTGATAAAGATATGTAGGGTTGGTAAATGGCTTGACATGGCTTGGTTTCATGAGTAGTCAACCGAGATAAACTTAGAAATGTGATGAAATGTGATAGATGTTGTATGCGCAAATTATAACTCAACTCAACATACAAATTTATGATATCACAACTCGAGATTATCAAACTTCAAACATGTTTGCTTTGGGAAACGGGCTTCTCTAGAGATAGGGAACCCGTCAACCCGTGCCTTGCAACCTGTTGATTTATGGTGGACTTGGATTGGCGGATTGAATTTTAAAGGGACAGGTAAGCCAAAATCATGATACTCTCTGGCAGTCAAAGGTGGCAATGGAAAATCCCCTAGACATGAAGTTTGAAAAGGGAAAGTCATCTATAAATATTGGGTTGGATGGTGCCAGTGACGGGGAAAGACTTTACGGGGATCGATAACTTGGCTCAAGCAAGAGAAGGTTTGCTGGGATCACCCAACTGTGAGCACATCTCATGCTTCAACTGCATCGATTTATCAAAATGACCACATTTGGCATCCTGATTTTCTTCCACGACCTAGGGCAAATCGTGTAGGTTTGGCAAATCCTCAGTGCAGGTCGTGTTGCTAGCTATTGGGAGCTGAGCTTTGATAGCTGAGCTTTGAGAAACTACACATCATTATGTCTACATCCCCAAGACTCTTGTTTTTGGACTACCCCGGCGTCGCTTTGGTAGCAGCGCCCAATAGATTGACATCGGTCTCTAAACAGGCCATGAAGTGGTATATCTGGGCTCCCAAGGATCTGAGTCGTCACGGTGCAATGCTCCTCCTGTAGCACAGGCAGAAATTGAGATGCAACAAGAGCGAGCAATGGTGTAACCTGAACACAACATTGGTACAATGGGTATGCACAAACGTATACAAAATTGAGCCCCCGAGATCTCAAGGCAGATTTCTGAAATGGATTGACAGCTTGGGATTTGGGAGTGTACTTTTGTTTCACCCAAGGATGATCCTATGAATCCCATCTGCCCAGGGGTCCTAATAGCTGGAGCTACCCCTTTATCGCTGGATGGTTTATAAAGGCAAATTCCCATTAAAATGGGATGATTTGGGGTTTCACCCTATTTCAGGAAACCCCCAAATCTAGACAAAATCTAGTTGGTGCTTTCAACTTTCAACCCACGTAAAACTTGAGCTCGTCCGTTGGGATCCTCCTTCCATTCATTATTTGCTGGTGAACACCTCCTTATTGCTAGCATCCCATTAATATGGAACATATCCAAGTTTCTATCAATACATGTTATATATACAGCATGTCCAAATGTTTATGTTTTCTTCTTGCTTAAATTCTTATTATTTGTGTAGGTTAAAACATCATTTGTCTTGGTTAAGTCAACATGTGCATGTCTTAAATTCACCATTTGTGTTGGATAAGTCTCCTTGTTTATTGGTTAGCTCACCAGTCATGTTCATGTTGCTTTCGATCCTCATGTGTGTTGAATCTGTGTTGGTCAAATCCCATTTTTTGCGGGTCGGGTCAACGCGACATTCTTGTTGGTCAAACCACTGCAATCCTCATATGTTACAATTTACAATATAATATATTATAATATATTATAATAATATATTATAATATATATATATTATAATATATTATATTAGTGGCTTCACTCACCATTTGAAACCAGCAATCAGAAATCTTCACCTCCCCGGAACTTCGGAACACCTCCAGCTGCGTCGAGATTTTGCGCAGGCTGATGCAAGTGCCACACAAATCGAAGCCTGCGAATCGGATGGCGTCTGTGTGGCCCGGCTCGAGGACTTTCTGGAAGGCGCCAAAACGTTCCTGGCGACGGCATGGGGCGCATGGGCCATGGGTTAATAGGATCATTAATAGGGATAAACAATGGATGGTTAATAGTTGATAATTGATTAACATGTTGCTTGGCTGGGTAAAAACGGATTTCCCAGTTCATGGATTGGGATAATCCTAAATATATTGGAGAGTATAATCCCATTTAATTACCAACAGGGGTTTTGATCACTGCTAAAAATCAGGGAAATTCCAAAATAATTGCTCTGTAAGATGGGGAAAATGATGCCAGCATTGAAATGCCAGAACCCCTTTCCCAAACTAAAGCAGCTCGACCCAACCCTGAGAATCAGAGAATTTTAGAGGAAAGTAGGAAACCAACCCCACTTGCTTGGCAGGGTCGTCATGTTAGTCGGACATCGGGAAACATATCCGGATACCCCATTGAAGTATACACTGGGATACTCGTCTCTAGGATATTTTAATGTTTATTTTGTGGCAACCTTTGGATACTCGGATCTTGGGCAAGGTGAAATATACCATCTAAATCCAGCTAATAAGACGCCCTGAGGAACTCGGAGGTCTTGTTTCTCTACTGTTTGGTCGCCAAGGTTCTTAAAATCACTGATAAACTTCGTAAATGCGGTATGGTTTCATCCAAAATGATGGTTACCCATTAAATATTAAATTATGGCCATAAACGAACATGACGCCAATCCATCTTAGCTTCTGGTATCCTACTTTTTAGACAAACCAACCTTGAACCAATCATACTGACCGCTTTACGTCCCATCACAAAAGAGGCCAACCAGGAAGGAGTATCAAACATCTACGTCTCCACAACCTTGAAAAGAATGAAACAGCACGAAACAGCTACACAGGTTTCTGATTTCCAACCACTCCAAGACTGTTTGTTGGGAAATTGTTTCAAGGTTTGGACTGAGCATACTGTCCAACAACCACCAGCAAGCCACCAGTGTCACACAATGAAAAACCATCCGTGGGTTCCAAAGATCTCGTTGTGATCAAAAATGGCTGGACACTTGCATCATTTCATGCATTTCATGGGACAGAATCATCCATGAATTGATTACTGGAGGATCTTCGCCAGATTAGTGCCAGGCTGCCACTGCCACATAGCTATCCCTTGGCACATTCACCTAGCGTTTTGCAAGCGGGAAATAGTGGGAATTGGCTGTTACTAATTGCTTGAGCTCTGCCAACGTGTTAGGCCATCAGCCCCATTAAAACTAGTTACACAGGCTGATATGAGGTGATATGCGATATGTGATATGATATAAAATTATACGATTAATATAATATAATATGATATATGATATGATGACCTGAACCAACAAAAAAGTCAAGTAGTCAGTGGTCACCCGAAGCCATCAGAGTCGCCAGAAATCCACAGTGCGACGGTTTCGTGAATGGTACGTTCAGGTACTGCTAATCGCTATATTACATTATTACATTCACAGCTGGGCTAGTTAAAAACAATTTCTGACCATTTCCATCCATTTCCTGCAACCCTGAAACACACAGATTGAAATAATATATCCAAAGATGATATGTGTGATTATGTGTGTGAAGCCTCATATCCAAACATATTCAACCTCGTCCAACCTCTGGTAAAGGAAATCACTTGAAATCATACCGAATTCTGGGTCGAAAGCTGCCAAGGTGCCAAGCAATTGGTACCTGGCACGCATCCGCGGTCCATGGCGTAGCGAGGTCATGATCCGACTTTGTTTTTCCTCTTTAGGGCTTCTCTTTTCATCAATGAAGCGGTGGGAAACGAACATCTACGCTTTGTGCACAGGGGTCATGCCACCAAGTACTGGCTGGGCTCCAGAGCAGTTGTTCGATCTCCACAGGCTGGGCTTCGGAGGTACAAACAAAACAAAAGCGTGTACGTTTCTAGACCTATAAGCATAAAGATGATTTATAAGTCATGCACGTCCACTGTACATATGTAAATCTCTAGTGTTATGTGTTAATATATATATATATATTTGTCTAAGTGTGTATATATATATATATGTTTATATATGTGGACACAGCAAGAATCTGTATATATAATTATGTATATATATATATGCACTATATGCACATTATATACAACACATGCAGCAACTTAGGATTTAACCACGAGTAGATAGACTCACGCAATGTAAAGATATGTAGAGAATATCAATGTAGCTGTATGTACTGCATAAAGTTGATTATATTTGCATATTCATACACATCGATAGATACATGATAAGATCACGGTGAGCCATGGTCTCAGATTTGCACCGCTGCAGGGCTGTTTTTTTTGCTCAATGGCCCGGGGCAGAACAGCACCGGCAATGAGAGGAGTGACATCGGGTGACAGGAGCCAAGAACTCGGCAGAAAACTGAGAAGGAAACCAGCAAGATGGGGACTTCACCCAGCAAAATAGGTCTGATGTGGTTCAATCGAAAATGGACAGCAAACCCAGTCTTTTTTGACAGCAGTCCATGAGTTTCTTGTATATAGAGTTGTCCATCAAACAAACCCGCAATTACTAAAAAGTAGACTTCAAGACTTTAAACTTTAAGGCTTCTCCAAGTCAACTCAAGCCAAGTAAAATCCGCATCAGGCAATGCCCCCGTTTTCCTGTGACGTGGGGTAGGTCATCATGGTTATGGTATATAATCCCATCCCCCTCATATTACCCACCCCCAGAAACCAAATTTAATACGATCCAAAAAATTGGACCATGGACATGCTCTACCTTTCGTCGCTTCCTTAGAACACTTCTGATCCCTGAGCTTCTGTCATTACATCAGCAAGTGATGTGGAAAGAACCTTCAGGAACATAAATCTCTGAGATTTTAACCCCTTGTCTTTAAGTTGTTAAAAACATACCAAGCTTGTTGAGCTTGTTGGCTGTTTCACCATGGTTATTTCTGGTTTGCCCATAACCGGTCTATCTCTTGGAGGCGTTGAAGTTTAGTCTGAAGAGCATCATATCAGGTACAAAATGCTGCCCCTCCATTGAGAAGTTGATGTCTGTATTTATATATATATATGTGTTCACCCATCTAGCTTCCAACAATGGATACTGCATAATATATATATATATATACATACAGATCAACCATGAACTCTACTTGCCTAATTATAAATCGACAAATCTTGCTAGAGGGCACCATTTTGTATGTCCTGGTACAGCTTCTGGCAGCTCAACGAGCGAGACCTCGACTCCTCCTTCAAGACAAATGGTGCTACCAGAAGGCCAACTCCACTATTCTAAGTTGGACCCAAACATGGCCTTGTAATCAACTGTGAGTAGGACACGGAAACCAGCAACCTCCATACACCAGTCATCGAAACTGACCTCTCAGCTGACCTGCTCAAGCAATTCCAGAAAAACTTCCTGCAGGTCCGGTATTCTGCCGGTATGCAGTTTTGGACCTTGTTCTTCAAGGCCACAGCGTGCGCAACGTGTCCCGGCGGCCGAATTGGGAGGGATGGAAGCCCAGTCATGTCTAGGGCCTAGGAACATGAATTCTCCGGTGGCAAGTGGAAGGTATCACGTGTTGTAGGTTTCAAGTTCCGAGCCAAGCTTAAGAAAATATTACCCTACTTTGTCAAGCCAGCCATCAATCCAAAATCAAGGAAACATGGTGACCTAGTAGTCCGAACTTTATCATGGGAAACCTCTGGAAGCTTTATCTCCTGCATTTTATTGGTCACCATCAATTGGCCGTCAACTACCAATAATAATAACACATACTGTGTATATGTATATGTATATATATATATACACAGATCATCATATATTGTCTGTATAATAATAGAGGTATAGAGAAGATTATAGAAGTATACGTATATGTATTATATATATAAGCGTCTTCAAGTACATAGAATATAGAATTGAAATGTTTGGCCATTTTAGAGCATCTTCAGGAATGAAAAAGAAAACGTATACATAGAATATTCCAGTAGTTTAGATAGAATATTTGATTCAATTCCGGAAGATGAACAAAAACATGGTACTAAAATTCACTCGGACTCGATCCCCTAAAGATACTAAAACAAATTCTATGTACAAAACTGTTCCGAACCACGTTGGGAATTGAATTCTGGTCCATTCTATGTACTTGTAGATGCTTATATATATATAGTAATCATGATGGTATGTCATCTATCCTCCCACAGTGCTTGATGGTGTTTCTGTGGTTGCTGCCACAGCTGGCTCTCCCAAGGCCTTCAGCTTGCCGGATCATTCAGGTTAACCATGGTTAACCTGTCCAGAAAGCTCAGTGCGGTCAAGTGACATGGAATGAATGGGCTCTGGTCATCCATATCATGTGAATACAATGGGTATATGGGTGCATAACGGGATTTGTCACCAACAAAAAACATCAAAAAATGTAGGATAACGTGGTATAGTCATTCCATCCCAGCATCATTCATTCTGGATTCTACATATTCGGCAATTGCATCCCTATGAATCAATTGATGATCCGTATATGAGACACTTGCCCAAGGTTTGACCGCTACAAAATGTTTATGGACTCATCTTGAGAAATCAATGTGAAAGTCCAGCCACTGGCAAAGGGCACAGAGGTCCAAAGGATTCCTTGGAAAAATTTAGAAAAATGAACTGGTACAAAGCAAAGTGATCAACATCAATTTGTCGACACCAATAATGTCCGTTTGGTAAAAATAGAAGGGCCGGTTTGGTATACCATCTATCATCATTTACCTGTTAAAGGGGTTTCTTCAAACCCCTCTATTAATCAACCAACCAATGGGAAAAGGACATCTATGGTCGACACAAGTGGTCTCCTATCTTGATATATAGTGCTAATCATGAGAAGAAATGCACATCATTGAAGTATGCTTTGCTAGTTGCAACAAGGCCAGTGTGGCTCAGGAAATGATTGGATCCCCTCAAGATGGTACCGCTTGGAAAGTCTCCTATAGCTGGGCTTATCCCAGGTGTTCATGTTGATATAATTTTGTAATATAAGTTATAATATATATATATATATGTATACAATACATAATATATATACACATATATTACATGACATATATAATACACGTATATATATATATATCATATATATATATATGTATATGTATAGTGTTGCGGTGGAAAAAAAAGAAACATGATCATTGACAATTTGCCAGTGAGGTAACTTTGGTGCCAAGTCTGGGCAAGTAGTACTGTACATGTAGAGTAACTACGTACATACCGCATATATCATATAGGTAATACTGTGTCATCACAGATCAGCATACATCATCAAAGCATATGTCATCATAATATCATCACAAATCACCAAACCTCTATCATAAATCACCAAATATAGTACTGTATATCATAATAATATCATATGTTCATTATCTACTTACATATATCAGCATGTAATTTCGAATGCTTATCCGGGGTCTAGGGGCTCATCATCCCATTGTATGACAGCTGGATACTTGAAAAACCACCAACCACTTAAGGATCGGTTAATGATAACTGGCTTTCATGGTTAAATCCCACTTCAAAATTGGATAACCCACAGAAGTCGAAGCACATATACCATTGTATACTATGATCTATCATTCTATATGATTGAAAATCTCAATGAGTCCAAGATTTGGACAACACCCGGACATCATCATATGTCAATATGCACGTATATTATGTGTATAGATATGCATATATCATATCATAATATACATATATATATCCGCCGACCCCGGCCTTCGCCAAGGCCGGGGCGGCGCCTGGGACCACCGCAGGTGTGGAACTTTTCCAACACGCCCAGCACGCAAAAGCTACCACAAGGCCACAGCAATGGCTCAAGGGCACCTTCCGGCCGCAGCAATGGCTTCTTATAGGCGTTCAAGGCTGCCGTTTGCCAGGCCTCAAACCCTCCAAACGCTCCAAAAGATTCCAAAAGTCCGCCCAGCTCCGCAGGGAACGGTACACCAACAAGCCCAACACGCGCCGCTCCCGCACGCAAAAGCCACCACAAGATGGCTGAAGGGCACCCCCCGGCCGCAGCAATGGCTTCTTATAGGCGTTCAAGGCTGCCGTTTGCCAGGCCTCAAACCCTCCAAACGCTCCAAAAGTCCGCCCAGCTCCGCAGGGAAAAGGTACCCCAACAAGCCCAACACGCGCCACTCCCGCACGCAAAAGCCACCACAAGGCCACAGCAATGGCTCAAGGGCACCTTCCGGCCGCAGCAATGGCTTCTTATAGCCGTTCAAGGCTGCCGTTTGCCAGGCCTCAAACCCTCCAAAACCCTCCAAACGCTCCAAAACCCTCCAAACGCTCCAAAAGTTCGCATAGCTCCGCAGGAACAAGGTACCCCAACAAGCCCAACACGCGCCACTCCCGCACGCAAAAGCCACCACAAGGCCACAGCAATGGCTCAAGGGCACCTTCCGGCCGCAGCAATGGCTTCTTATAGGCGTTCAAGGCTGCCGTTTGCCAGGCCTCAAACCCTCCAAAACCTTCCAAACGCTCCAAAAGTTCGCATAGCTCCGCAGGGACAAGGTACCCCAACAAGCCCAACACGCGCCACTCCCGCACGCAAAAGCCACCACAAGGCCACAGCAATGGCTCAAGGGCACCTTCCGGCCGCAGCAATGGCTTCTTATAGGCGTTCAAGGCTGCCGTTTGCCAGGCCTCAAACCCTCCAAACGCACCAAAACCCTCCAAACGCTCCAAAAGTTCGCATAGCTCCGCAGGGACAAGGTACCCCAACAAGCCTAACCAAACCCTCCAAAACCCTCCAAACGCAAGGGCACCTTCCGGCCGCAGCAATGGCTTCTTATAGGCATTCAAGGCTGCCGTTTGCCAGGCCTCAAACCCTCCAAAACCCGCCAAACGCTCCAAAAGTTCGCATAGCTCCGCAGGGACAAGGTACCCCAACAAGCCCAACACGCGCCACTCCCGCACGCAAAAGCCACCACAAGGCCACAGCAATGGCTCAAGGGCACCTTCCGGCCGCAGCAATGGCTTCTTATAGGCGTTCAAGGCTGCCGTTTGCCAGGCCTCAAACCCTCCAAAACCCTCCAAACGCTCCAAAAGTTCGCATAGCTCCGCAGGGACAAGGTACCCCAACAAGCCCAACACGCGCCACTCCCGCACGCAAAAGCCACCACAAGGCCACAGCAATGGCTCAAGGGCACCTTCCGGCCGCAGCAATGGCTTCTTATAGGCGTTCAAGGCTGCCGTTTGCCAGGCCTCAAACCCTCCAAAACCCTCCAAACGCTCCAAAAGTTCGCATAGCTCCGCAGGGACAAGGTACCCCAACAAGCCCAACACGCGCCACTCCCGCACGCAAAAGCCACCACAAGGCCACAGCAATGGCTCAAGGGCACCTTCCGGCCGCAGCAAGGGCTTCTTATAGGCGTTCAAGGCTGCCGTTTGACAGGCCTCAAACCCTCCAAAACCCTCCAAACGCTCCAAAACCCTCCAAACGCTCCAAAAGTTCGCATAGCTCCGCAGGGACAAGGTACCCCCAACAAGCCCAACACGCGCCACTCCCGCACGCAAAAGCCACCACAAGGCCACAGCAATGGCTCAAGGGCACCTTCCGGCCGCAGCAATGGCTTCTTATAGGCGTTCAA